GGAGGTCGTACTGGATTAATTTTTCTAATTTACCCACCAATCTCCGGCTCTGCCTCAATCCTCTTTAACCGGAAATTAATTGTAAGGGTCACTCAAGTATCGTCTCGTGAGTTTGCCAACAGGCATAAGAAACTCTGACATGCATGACCGCAGAAAACGTCAACATTGCTATTTTCTTCTCAATTTACATCACAATTTTTCCCTAGCAATGATAAAGCTTTTATCCATTAGTTAAGGTGGGAGACGAATAAGGTCTTATGCACAAAAAGGAGGCTGAACCCGTTGCTCGCTTAAAGAGCTCATTGGTGTTGGTTCTACCACCGTTGGCGGTGCGCAGACGTGATGAAGGCTCTTGAACGCTAAGCACTCCTCGCATGTCGCATGGGAAGGCATTTTAGTTCCTCTTGTGCTAAAGCAACCAGCTACGCAGTGCTGGTTCTGCCTCCCCTAATCTTACCTACTCCGAGTTATTTGCTAATAGAGCAAGTTAGGAAGGTTCAGTTCGTAGAGTTTCACTTATGTTAGCTTGCAGACTTGTTTACCTGAATCTACTCACTAAACCTCCCCTATTCGACTCGAGGATAATCGGAATAAGTATTGTCAACTGGGACTTAAAGACTAATTGCTTCCGGGAGCCTTTTCACTAAATAGTTTTGGATAGCTCCAATTTGGGCAATCAGTTCTGTAGAAAACCTTTTTTGAAATGATCGTTTTTCAGCAAACGCGAAGCTAAAACTTTTTTTGTGCAAACATTGCATGTCGCTACCATGGAAAGCAAAAGTTTAAGTTAATCCTATATAAAGGTATAGCGATTGAACTTCACCATTGGGAATGATGTTTTACATTTCCTTCTCAGAACTACACTACTTATAAAGGAACTCCGACAATTCCCTGTTTAACACACGTACTAATGCTTTGACTTACCCCGTGCTTAAGGCTGCACTTATTCATCTGCTGGCAGGGCGAAGGCGACGGACACTCCTGTTGTGGCGTTCGAATGTGTGTTTTAGTGGAAGCAGTCAATATTGCCTGGGAGAGAGCAACACCTGCCATCTGTATGCGAAGGCTCAAGGGGCAGTGGGGAGATCTGACATGTGTTTATTCAGCCCTCGTTTGCGCTAGCTCTAAAAGTGAGGTGTATTTTCAAACAAAAATATCGCAACGTCTCGAAGTTCGAGTAGATATTGACATTGAAGGCACTTAATGTGTCTGCGATGGTGGTGTCGTGAGAGCTTAACTGAAGTTTGACGAATAAAATAACTATGCCTTATTATGACAAAAACCTTGAGGTGCTCATCCACACCTCATTCATCATTGGCGCTTAAACACATAACATGTATTCCAGCATGGATTTGTAATTTAGCTAAAAATAAAAATAATGTCTACGTTTCGACACCTGATAGGTCAGCTTTGATTGGCCAAAACCATCACTGAAAGATGCAGCTTAACTTCTTTTACTTGCCCAACTTAAATCAAAATTATCATCAAAGTAGAGGTTGTCGCCTATTATTGCCTTCTCCTTAATCAAACTTTTGAAGCGTCTGTTTATCTGCTTCGTTTAGAATTTTGTTTTGCGAAAGTTTCAAGGATCCCATAAGCAATGAAAGGTTAAATATTAATGCAGGTAAATGCTCACCACTGTGTGAAATATCGAATGCTTTTGGTGACTTGAAGACGAAATGGGTGAAATGCTCTGTTAAGTAAAAGAAGAATTAATCCTTCTTCTAGTGGGGACAGCCATGCCAGATGTCTACATTTTGTTGACGTTCACAGTTCCTCTTAATTTCCATCAGTAAAAATAGGGGACCTTGTGCCATACCTATTGAAAGAAAAGCGCGTTTGCACTCAAAAACGGCCTCCAGTCTAGCACACACCTGATCTCTACCTCTCCCAGAAGCTTCAACCTTCGGTGAACCCAAATGAGTCACATTCCACCCGATCGGTTCAAGGCCATCCAGTCAGAGGTGCATTAGGTCAACACCTTCCCCAAATTTATTGTGTTGCCACCTCTTTACTTTACTTTATTGGTCTCACAAGAAATGGTGAACAACAACGAGCTGTACTAAGGTAGCATAAATTCGCGGTAATGCACACTCCGTCAGTATGTTTGTGAGTCCATTACTAGGATTTGAGTTGACTTGGAAAAGGACTACAGCCTTAGAATGGGCTGTCCAGGAAGTTGAGAACCACTTCCATATCCCTCATCTGTAGCCGCCAAAATGCATTATGCTAACACACATGATTAGGCACGTGTTCTTTACAACCGCATATAAAATCGAGAGAGTGCTGAGTAATGGAGGGTTTTGTGCTTGACTAATGCGTCAGACTAAATTGTTTTAGGTGTTCCAGTCCTTACAACTTTGCGACTTAATCTCGGATTCAGATTGCTGCAGCTGTTTTTTTATTGGTAACGTAGATTCACTAAAACAACTGCGGTGACTCTGATTCAGTTTTGTAGCCATTTTGCTCAAAACTACTCCCTTCTGCGTTTTCCTAGACCCTTCAAATAGCAAGCAACTGGTGTGTGATGTACGGTTTTTGTGAATTTGTTTAATCATTTCCATTTTTCGAATTTCTCACACTTGTGTAGTTTGTGGCTCGCGCTTGCTATTCAAATGAATTGAATTTGGCTGTCTAATTAGACTGCCCTACTCCCTCAATCAACCAAGCCCTTGTCATCTTGAAAATGCGATATTGCGCAGGCACGTAATTTAAGGAAGCATGGGCTTCGCCTGAGTATTGGAAACGACAGGCTTCGCCATTTAGACGCTAGATTTTTGGTCCCTTTACCGGTTAGCGAGGCTGCGTACGTCGACGCATTGATTTGGTCTTGAACTTCATTTTGTGGTCCTGGGCGTCATTTTACCGCAAGGTCTCTGATCACGAATGCCATGCCTTCTGCCTCACATTTAGCAGAAGCAGATGATGATGAGGTTGTTAACTTTGGTTTAATTCCTCGCTGAAAAAGTGTAGCGATCCTCTTCGAGCCTATGAAAAATGTCTGCTGCTACATGCTCCTTGCGATGAGGAACTCTTTCGTATGCTAGTGATTAGGGATGCAGAAGTTTGCAGCTTTACTACAATACACATCTATTCGACCCTCACCGGTTGCAAAATTGGCGAATCCCAGGGAACATTTAAAAACTGATTTTGTCTATGCTACAACCTTTGAACATCTCTCCGTATATTTAGTTAATATCGGCTCTTTGAATGGCATTTAGCATCATTTTTCATAAATTTTGCTGCTGAAGTTAACTTAGATTTTTAAGAATGGAACATTTCCTACGCTCCATCTTTCCACCCAGCTTACCATTCACTAGGAGTCACTTTCTTGTTTCAGGTGACTTACTTCGTAAGTCATTTCCCCTTCGGTAACCATGATCTCTAGCCTTTACGCAACCTTCGTTTGAACCAATAAACGCCGAAGTTAGCTGAAGGCCATTTCGATTTTTTTATTAAAAGGCATGTGGAGTGCACAACGGAGATTGCTTGGATTTGGTTATCTTCTCCACTGTCAGCTGCGTGGATTAACGGGGCTATTGCAACCTTTAAAGGCCTTTCATCGAGTCAGTAGTTTATGCCTTCCTAATTGGCAGATTAGGTTGATCAGGCAGAAGTCTCTGAGTCTTTTTTTTTTGTTATTTTGTGCAATTTTATTGAAATTAATGAACTTAAAAGCGAAGTGGGTGAAGTCAGAAAACTCGAACTTTGAAAAGAACTCACTAGAACCTTTGTAAGAGGCTACTTCTTGGTATATAATTTTTGCATTCTACTTGATTCCTCAAAAATGTTAGGACTTTTCATTAAACCTAGCAGAAGTTGGAAAATCAAATGGTAAAATTTCCGTGTGTTGAAGCGAAACTTTGCTATCGATGTTGTCCAATGTACCTCAATACAAAGTTACAGCCTGCGCCCTTTTCCAACACGATTAACCCTTGAACGCAAGCAGATTTAGCTTAACAGATTTCTTTGAACACATCAAACCTAATAATAAACTTTCAGCGTCATAAAGACCCAGGAAGTGCGGCTACGTGACGCAAAATCAGCATGTAGACGTGCGTTTGCGACTCCGAGAACAGTCATTTACCTTTCGTGAGAACAGACTCCTCACAGGCGGCTTTAAAAACAAAATTCTCTCTATTTGCTTACCTGCCTCTGAAGATAACAATAGTCTCTCCTAGGCGTATTGGGGTTCGCTAAAGCATAATATGATGGTTAGGACCGAAAATGTCAGCATTATTGCCTCTAAGGAGCACTTCAATATTTTTGCCTACACACTGCCCATTGGGAATTCAGCAACAAATCTTCCTGTATCAGAAGGTGAATAATCCACTAGAGCTTGCTTTATAAGTGTTCCTTGCCCATTAGTGCGTAAATTCAGAGAGTATTTGCTTGACCTTTGAGTTAATGTACGAGAACTCGCATCATACGAAGTGGGGGATAAACATGTTCCGCAAAGTAGTAAAAAATTGGCGATCACATGGACTGTACTATGGGTTGGGGACCTGTGCGGGCCAAGTTAACGTTAATTTTTCGCCAATCACTGTATAGTTATGCACGATATAAGAAAACATCGAGGTGTATTAATAAAGTAGAATCTCCAAGATCACAGAGAGTAAATATACACAGCCGACATCAACACCACTTAGCATCGTAGTACAGAGCAATTGACGGTTTGCTTTCCCCACGTCCAGTGCGGCTCTCTCTTGCCCAGTAAATAAAAATAAAGAAATAAAACATCTCATACCATTGTTCCTCTGCCGGCATCAGGGAACTAAGGCGAAGAGCAGTATCTCCTCCTGGCCATAGGAAGCCATAAAGTGTGTGAAATAACGCTTTATTTTGTCTCACTTGCTTTGATTGACATCAAAAATTGGCAAGCAGACGGTCAAGATTTGTACTCGAGCAATATAAAGTTAGTGGAGTATACTTTGTGTGTTGTATTAAGGTACTTGAACGGCGAGGCCTTCATCTTTGGCATAGACACACTGCGTGATCTGATGAACACACGATTTTGGGACCAGACCGGCTCCTTCCCGCGTGTTGCCCTGTGCGACTTCGAGCTGCGTCGTATGGGCAGCAACCAGCATCGCTACACCATCCAGTGTGTCCTCCGCATCAACATCTTCAATGAAAAAATCTACATTTTTCTCTGGTTTTGGTTCTTCCTCATTTCCATCCTTAATCTTTTCAGTTTTCTTCGGTGGTGCTACAAGTGAGTACTCTCTTTCTGTTTTCAAACATGGTTCTCTCCTTAATGCTCATCCTCTTCCTGCTCCAAAATGCATGGCTTGAAATAATAGTGCAGCGAAGAGTGAACTCTACTGAAGTGCTTTGCCTTTGAATGGATCAGATCGCTTCACATCGAGGTAAGGAAGTCACTCTGTTACGGTGACTTTAATAGCAACATTTTAGTTCAAATTCTAATTCCGTTGCAGCTTTGAGGGGTTGCATAGATTTTTGTCTACGCCCCAGTATCAAAATTACTCGGCTAAGCGAGGAGATTTGCGAGGATTTATTTAGAGGCCACTTAGTCACCAAAACTAGCCTAACAACATCCAACAGCTTCAATCCCTTTTCACAATGGCTTATTCGTGTAACACTTCACTGTTACATCTTTTTATAACTACTTAATGTGCGTTAAGTGTTCCTGAATGGACCTGCTTTTTGTGTCGGAACATAAGGAACATAAAAGAGCTGGTCAAAAGCCCACATACAATCCGCCTAAACTCCTACAGATGCCGGAATAGTTAGTCTGGGGGGAAATTAAAGTGGATAATTACATCCACTGACCCTCGGGCCCTGACTTAAGCATTACCAGGCAGTAGGGCGATATTTGGAGGCAAAACGCTTTCTGATGCGAGCATCTTGCGGGTACGTTTAAATGAGTGTCGCAAAATACTGCGAAGCGACCCTCCAATTTTTTACCAATCTAAAAAATAAACAAGCAAATTCAGAAATGTGAAGAAATAGAAAAGACGATGTTCGCCCTTGACTTGTGTATCTTTGCTTGTGTCCACAGACTTCTGCTGAGTTCAGTAAGAATACTCTTCGTCAGAAACCTCATCTGCATTTATTTTAACATCGTCGCTGCCAAATCGCAACTCCCACCTATGGTCCTGTCGGATGATAAGGACAAGGAGAAGCAGAAATGCCAGCTCTCAATTGCCGATGTCTTTAAGACCAGGGACGATTTACAAGCCTCTCGGGTATTCTCCGAGGATATTCTCGGTCAGGATGGGGTGCTTTTGTTGCGCTTTATCAACATGAATGTGGGGCCGTCATCTGCAGCTGAATTGGCTGGCGTGATTTGGATCAAGTACCGAAAAACCGCAGTTTTTATCAACGGAACCACCTCGTCAGGAGTCGAGGATTTTGTTTTTGCAAATGTAGCTGCAGGTGGCATTGAAAGACCTCCGGCGATCCCTCCCAAAAGTCACAGATCTCTCACCCATGGGAAGAGGAAGAAACCCACAATTATGCCCCTGTCGGCATTCATTTACCGCAGCAGACATATTGAGGACAACGACAGTGATAAATCCACCGATTCGTCACGTCCAACAATCGAAATGTTACAGGAACATAGGCGATATAAGCCAATGAGTCGGAAACGTGGCAATTACTTCTCAGACGCTGACGATGAAAACGGTCAAATGTCTGTTGTTCATGAGAACTATGGACCTGAAGAATTTTTGGACATTCATGACCTACCCGAACCGGAAGCTGGACAGGAGGCTGAGGACATTGTGTCGGAATACCGATCTTTTGACGATTATTAGATTGGCATTTATGTTCCTCTTACATGATAGACTTGCCATTAATAAGCACATATATTGCATTTTTATTGATACGAGGTAAACCTATCAAGGCTAACACAGAAATGAATTTGGTTTTGATAAACTTGCGCTTGCGAATTCGCGAAATTTAGTCATTGTCGTTACTGTGGTGCCCACAAAAACATGCGAAAATAGTCGGCATCGTCAACTATTGTTATTTCAAATAAACTGCCTTCACGACCCTGAGTGACACATTTAGGGTTGCAAGGACTGTCAACCGCCACTATGAGGCGCATGCTAGAATTCGGTTAAACAAAAAATCTCTCGAGTGATTGTCGCATAAATCCACAATGGGGCCTATGCCAAAGCCTGATGACATGTGGTAGATGGCATTTTGATTGTAAGACCCATCTGCCTTCCTCGTTTCCTGCGACCAGGAATTCGGAACCAAAGTACCTTCTTAAGTCACGACTTCCTTATCATGCCACCGCTGCTGCTACTAAAGACACTCAGGAAATTTGAGTTTCATCGCTAACTATTTCCTAAACATTCATGAGACAGCGCTGAGGCTTTATTTTCACACCTACACAGCAGTCCCAGTGGTCATAAAAGTGACGTGTATAGCAATTTTGAAGGAGAAGTAAATGGCACTGAATCCAATGCAACAAGAATTCACTTTTAGCTGACTTCAGATGACCTTGACATTTTATTTTTAGCGATGCATTGTATGTCTTAACGCAGCATTTACGAGGTGTTGGCTTTAAAGGTCCACTAATTCGTTTCGCAGCACAGCGATTCTCTGGTCCTCCAACCCTACCATGTTGCTTGATCTGCTAAAAAACCATTTTCTTCATTTATCAGTCGCTATAATTTTGGTGACATTTTCAATCCTTATTCAATAAAGTAAAATAGATTTTCTACCAAAGACAAGGGTTTGAAATTTCTCCTCGCATTGGCACTTCTCCAAAAGTGCAAATTCTTTGTTTCATACTTTGTTTACTTGACTAACTTATCTTAAGTTGGTAATTGTCTAAGTGCACTTGCCTTTATGCTTGTCAGACACGAGGAGCTCCTAAAGAGCACGACACACTACTGATATTAGGCTGGAGTTATTTGCGCGCACAGACTACCCTGCAGATCTTGCAAATTTGTGTGGATAAGAGTTGAAGAATGCCACATTATTGGCCACAAATATTCATCCCTCAAGCTCCAGTCGCCTCTTCGGGTTCCACCACCCCGCGGCATTATGGCCCATTTAGTGATTCATCTCACCCTGTTAAGTTCCCTGCAGCTCTGGTGGGAACGCATGTAGAGCATATTTTAACGACTCGCGTGTTGATCCCATATTTCCACCCAACACTGCCAGCAGCCAGAGCATCATAACATATTGTTAAACATTTTCCACTTTCAGGGATGATGCTCACTGTTTGACTTGCAAATATGGTTGTTTAAATAAACATCCTCAAACCCCTGCGTATAAAATGCCTAAGCATTGGCCTTAAAAACGGCTGATTATTGAAGCTTGCCCTCGGTAATGGAAGCAGTCAAGGCGACTATTAGCAAACTCTAAAATCTAACTCGATTTGCCGAATTTTTAGAACTGAAATTTTTATTTTCTTTGAAAAAGGTGATGCTCTCAATACAGTCGCAAGCAGGCTGCAATGTACTATACTAACTACTAAAAATTTGACAAGTCAATTTTATTCTGGGGCTGAAAGTGCTTTGTTGAATTTATCTGCGATTCGCAGGTTGTTTAGGATGTGGAATCAGATTGCAGTTTGCTAGGTGTGAAGTGGGTTAAGTGGGAATCTTACGAGTTTCCCACGTTAGCATGGATTTATTAAGGGGACTATTAGAATTGTTATTGCTATAATAAATGGAAATCACCTGTCAGCACGCTTTGTTCTTTCAGGGACCGCACTTCTGCGATCGCAAATGGGTTTAGCCTGACTTCCTCATCTGAAACTAACTTTGGCAATGTTTTGCTATTATCTTCCATCCGCACCTTAAAAGTAAACTTGTTTTAGACCATGTCAGTCCTCATATTCAAGTGACGATTGATAATCTAGTTTGATTAATACAAGTCCATAGTAATAGCTCAAGTTCATATTGCTTAAAACCAGTTACATATTATTTCACAATAGTGAAATTCATTCATGTTGCTACAAAAGAATTATTTAACCCTAATCTTAGCATTCAAGATCTTTTAATAGACCCGTTTTTTCAAATAAGGAAATATTGAAAATAATGCTTTACTAGTTTAATTTAAGTAACAAAACCGTTGTCGCGTGTTGTGAAGTTGTTTTAAAGGCTAAAGTGCGATTTTTCTCATTCATCCAAAGAACTTGAGAAAGCGTTAAGAGGAGCAGGTTCGAAATCTTTGTTGCGATTGAAAATTTTGAAAACATTACATAACTTAGGCTCCCTTGGCAAAACATGCAATTACATGTAGTGTAAACACCAGTTTAGTCCCAATTTTTACTGGTTCTCAACATGCTCAACAATAACTTTAGCGTCGAATGAACTATTTCACGAATTATAAAGTCTCCTGTTGGCAAGTATGACTGTTTCAATGTGGTTAACTCGCTCCATCGAAGCAAGCATTACTCAATGATTTTTTGCAATCACAATGATTCCACTAAATCCAAACGCGATACAAAGTCACCTCAAGGACAAATACTTGGGCCCTGATGACGGAGTCTGGAAATCAGCTGTGTGCCATGAATGGACCACGAAGGTACCACAAAATTAACAAAGACTGAGAGTATGACACGCTAATGGTTGTGGATGTCCTTTTTCAACCAGACGTTCAACGAAGCTGCAGGCAAGACCAAGGGAAACGTAACCAGGCTATGCTATTGTGGGGGATGCTATAGTTAATCTAGTTTTGGAAGTAGCACTGAGTGCGGATTCACCAAAGCAACATGGACTATTCAGTCCCCATTTTTAGCCGCGTAAATGGCATAAGATTGGTTTCAAACCTTAAAACCCCTTGGTAGATCTAAAATTTGTTTTAAATTATTTAATGAATGTTTTATATTACAATTTATCCAATATAGCTACTGATAAAACCTCGCTTAACACAGGTTTCAGGGTAAATGCCAGCGGGCATACCACAAAAGGGATGATTAAGCATTTCGGATTAATGGAAGGGGGAACTGTAACCAGATCCCTCTCTCCTGTACCTCGTTTTGCGTTGCACACAGTCAGTGGTTCGGAATGTGCGTGTGCATGCGTAATTTTGCTATTCAAATTACTCCAACGCGTGGGCAGATCGACGACTTACACATGCACCCCTGAAGGCACACTCAAGTGTCGCATGGAACGGATTGTCGTTATGCGGTGCAAAGTAGGTTAAGCAAACAGCGGATAGGGTTTGTGAATTGAACAAAAACAGTTTGGTCGCTATAGCGGTTGCTGTCACGGTTATCGAAAATTGGTGTGCGCACGCACAAAATCGCAAATTTGGTCTCTAGCTTTTGGCTTTTTCGCAAGAAAAAATATATTTTAGAGGTTTAGGAAACACTGGTACCACACACGAAGACAACTATGTGTAATGAGGCGCCCGGTAGCAAAAGATGGTGGGGTTACATAGTTGTGCCTAACAGGTAGTTTGATTTAAGAAGGTAAAACTAATTACGCAAATTTTGAACCCCAAAGCGTGTGGTTCTTAAAGTTTAAACAAAGGAAAGTGGAGTCTTCATTCCAAAAGTTGATGAACTAAATCAATGGCGTACAAGAAAAGACGCCTCCTGAGGATGAAAGTGGAGAGAAATAGTGGTCAATTTTCACTATCAATTGTGAATCACTACTTAGAGATCACAGCAAAAAGGCACCAAAATGCTGCATTTTACTTGTATGTTTTAATCATATTGAAACCTAGCGGTTAGCAATGAAGGTGGCCTTATGGAAGGTGGGCTTTTGAGTAGCACGGCCGAGGAAAAAGTTTTATGATTTATGCAGTATGGCGGGCCTAACACGGATCTCAAGCAATGCAATGTAATGAATCACTTTATTGGATCCATTACGTATGCAGTAAACCTCTATGTATTTTTAAACAACCGCACCGTAATCTCTTCAATTACTTATCATGGAGTGCCTTGCACACACACGCGCGCACCGCGCAATTTACTGCCCAATCAGTTGCTAGCTACGGTCCGTCGCAGTTGCAAGTTAACCAATCAGACAACGGTGAAATCTGTTCATTGCAAGGGGTGGAAGGTGGATGATGACTACCGTAGGCTTCAGCTATTTAGGCAAACAGCCATGATTCCGACCTCAAGAAAGGCTATGCTTTGCAACTCTGCCCGAAGTTCTCATTTAACAGATGGTAAAGCCTTCTGTATTAATTACCTTAATCCGGATAGTTTGGATAAGGTGAGTGTCAAATAGTTGCCAACTCCACAAATGTCTAAGAACTTCCCCTTTCTCGAGACATATCTCTATTTGCCTTTTTAACTTCTACTAATGAAACATAAATAAATTCTGACCTTTATCGAGAGATGGGTACAAAATTTATATGCTGAAAATTGAAGAATTTTAATAAGATTGGTGTAAACTTAGATGCGTCAAGATAAAAGATATTACCATAGTTAATTGCTGTTCGATTAACTGAGTTAGCTATGAATAGCAGTAGATTATGCTTTTCAAAACATTCCAATATATTAACTTCATTTAATTTAATCAATTTGATTTTATCAAAATCTGTTAATTAGAGGTTATCCATTAAGTAATTGCCCAACTGTGTCTGCACCACTTGACTATCATAAACCGAAGATGTATTTAGCGGCTTTTAAAAGGTTATAGTATTGCCAAATATTTTGATTTGACTACCCCGAAAACATCACTTGATTTGAACTTGTTTGTTCAGGCTTGTGGTGGGGGTGGGTACAAGTGCTACGGAAATTGTCAATGACTTGCAACGCCATTTCAATGACAAGATTCCAACCGTTTAAGTTCACTCCTTTCATGTTTCGCTGTAAACAATTCTCTCCTTGTTTTTTGCAAATTAAGTCTCCTAATCCATTGTCGAACAAGTCGTTATGTGGATTTCAACTGACTAGGACAAAATAAATTATTTTTGGAACTAACCATCGATATGTTGCACTAAGCTATTTTTTCACTGATCGTCAATGCTGTACTAAGGAGAGTCGCCCAACATCCGACCCTCTTGTTCTGCTGATTGAAACCTGTGACCGCGTACGGAGGGATTTAGAGCAGACAAAATTTTCGACCATTTTGTGCGACCTCGTCTGCGACATGGCAACGCCGTCGAGCCTAGCGGGACAGAAGCGTCACGCCGATGCCCTCTTCTGCCACCCACCGATGAAGGTAAGACGGTCAAGCTGTCACACATCCCTACCGCCGGCGCCGCCACCACACTCGTTCTTCCTTCCTCCACCGCAGACAGAACCTGTCAATCTCAGTAGCAAATTGGCAGAAGCAGCGACCACTTTTGCTCCATCTTTGACTCCACCACCATCTCTCTCATTGATCCCCAATCTACGATCACCAGCCTCAATCACAAACCTGTTAACGCAGCTGCTTTTCTTTGGTGGCCTACTTCCACATCTACTGAAACTGGGTCCTCTGTTCACCCCACCCTGTCAACAGTATTCACTACATTCGCTCTTCGCGCCACCTTCGCAGACCCAAGCTGCCTTTCTGCCCTAAGTGGGAGCGTGGTGACAGCCTTTTTGATACAGCACCAAAGACTGCAATCCCGACTGCATATGCATCGTGTTTTCTGGCGCTTATGGTTCCCCTTCTTATTGTGGCGCCCACTTGAAACAGTCCATGTGGTTTTGTGGGCAATGAGTAGTAATAAATAAATTTTAAAGCCCATTTGTACTATCTTATTCATTGCCGAAATCCGCTTTTTTAGGCATTAGTTAAACATTACTAGTAGACATTGATTACTTGGTTTATAGAAGTCGAGATGGAGCCGCGAAGTACATTCCGCCCTTTTGTATATCCATACCGTGTCTTGCAATACTTCACAACCAGTTCATTGAAATGCATACCAGCAATTTTCACTTATTGTGGCAAAAAATGCTCATAAATTGTTGTGAATTAGTTGTATCTGCTCGAGAACGAAGCGACTGCAATTGTAGTCGGAGTAAGTAAATCTGTGGTTCGCACTAGGGGGAGGAGATCAGACATCGTAGCAGTCAGTCACGACACCGCAGCGGGACAGTGCAACCTCAATGCCTACTCTACTGGCTTTCCATTGTCACTAATGGCCACACGCGAATGGCCTAAACCAACTTGTGGTTGGGTGTTTCCTGGTGCATTATTTGTTGTAAATAAAAGATTTTGATTAGTAAGGTTTGATGCACCTTTTTGTGAGTGAGGCCCATTCCAGCCTCGTTCAACACTCTTGAATTGCTGCGCTTCGATGATTTTCTTAAGTGCCGGGTATAAAGCTCAACATACTTTAAGTAGAATACCTAAGATGTTTGCCTTTTGTCTTTAGAAGATAAGAGCTATGACTTATTTTATCCGGTACACAAAGCGATCCGCACCTTTCATTGATAAGTTGAGCTAGTAAAATTGTTAGCAGCGGCAGTTAATGGGTTTAGGTGTTGCAAAAACATTTATGCTGGTTGATAAAGGAAACTTTTACATCCCTTGAGAGCAACCTTTTGAAATCAGTAAGATCCAAGGTCAGCAAATGTCGTTTCGCATTTCCCATATAAGGCCTCTTCGCGAACACCTCCCACATCCGATGTGCCCTTTAGATAATTTTAGTGTTCTCTTTGCATAAGCTAGGACGCACGATGCTGCGCCCATGGACCGTGTTAACTACGAAGCAACGCTTATGAAAATAATAGTGTGACTTACTCCAGGTACTGCAAACGGTAGTATCCAGTACCCAACAGCCTGAACATTATCCATAAATAGATAATCTAACCCAGAGCCGTTATTACGCCTGCTTGTGGTGTGGTCTCCAGCTGACTTAACTTTGAAAACGTCTGAAAGTATTGTTTTGCTGCATTGTTCACTAAATAATCGAAATGTGGCAGTAAACGCCACTTCAGTGATTTTGGAGCTTTGCAAGAACACCTATTATTTAAGCTTGAGTAAAAAACTCTAAATAAAATTGCAAAATGATGAGGTCTGCGATCCTGGGAATGCTCTATTTGCAGTGATTGATATGCGTCTGCCCCACCGAGGTTGGCTTAATAGCATGAGATCAGCACAAATGTCGACGTTTTGGCCTTTCCACAAAACTATTCTTCTGAGTAAAATTGATAGAAGAAATATCACATAATAATTGATTTGATACAATGCGATCTTTGTCCCTGGACCTACGCAAACTGTTTGTCTACAAGAGAAAACTGAAACCTAACCAGTTCATGCTTGGAAGCCTACAACTGGTAAGAATGTTGTTAATGATGTCTGAGAAAGCATTTGGTTAAGGTTGGTGCATCCATTATTCACGCGACTTCAGGCATGACTGCTCTAATTAAGAAACTCCTCTATGCCAAATAAGGCAACAGAATATTGTAAAATTTTAGCCGACATATTGACACTTGAAACCCCCACAAGAAGGGCAACCTGCGGCATTATTGAGGAGAAATGCACCTCTACTAAAGTTAACATCTCATAAGGAATTATCAGTGGCAATAATATTGACCATCAAAGACATTTTCCCGAGTTTTAACGATTAATAACCCGCCGTGTGCTATTCCATTCAAAGTGAAGGGTAAAAAGGATAAAGAATGGACTGGCGCACCGATAAGATGTGTGACAGACGTCTTCTCAATTGTCATCGCCTCAACTTCAGAAGCCTATGATTAATTCCACTGGAAAACGTGGTAAAACCTTGCCAGAAGGTAGGTCAAAGGTCTGAATGGTGAATTCAGATTGAAGTGGAGAATCCTGCAAAAAAATGCCCTACATAGTGTTTATGGAAATTTTCATCTCCTATCTCAAAGCCACACAATGAATGGCAAGCTGCACAGAAGCCACATCCACCATCGTAAATGTACCCAATGCCACCTCGTCGAACGGTGCTGGTGCTTCCTCTTCCCATTCTGCTATCGCAATAAAGTAATGAAAAGTTGCATTGGTGAAGGACTAGATTTTCTTCAAAAGAAACTTTTGACGGCGATGTTCATTCAAACTCTGATTGAAAATCGAATACACCGATTGCAACCGAAAACCGCCCACATCCAACAGTCTGCGAGTCTTACTTAATCCGCATGCCAGAAGCTAAACAGTACCGAAAAATTAACTGTTTTGAATGCAGTCAATGGAGTAACTGGGCAGTCTTCATCAATTATTTAATTAAAATGCATACAAAAAATAGCAATTGCCACTGGGTGGGGAGAAGAGAACGCAGAAGATATCGCCATTCAATGCCAAACAACTTGATTGCGCGCATATACCACACTGCCACTTTTTGTGAATCGAACGGGTTTTGTAGTTTCTACAAAGGAGTAAACAAATAAAATGGTAGTCATTCCCAAACAAAAGACTACCGAGGCTACAAAACCGGGTCGAAACTTACAGAAGAATTTCGCTTGAACATCAATTTCCCAAAAAAGCGCACTCTTACTAAGTAGAACAGTTGCCGACGAAGAGGGACATTTCAAAATACACCAAAAGTTGACCTCCAAGTGATGACAGTGGAAGATTAATTGTGCGCTTAGCGATGAAACATAAGAATGAGAAATTGCGCAATTTATAAGCACAACTTATCATAGTGTCTGAGAGAACTTTGGCCCAACTGCATTAAATGTAACTGCAGCCAAACAGATTACATAGCTAAAGGCTCCCCTTAACACCCTATCAGTGTGGTGCTTACAGTAGCAAAGTGAAGGAAATTGGCGAAAAAAATACCGGTCAAAAATAAGGGACGAAAGCCTCAAGGGGCAGACAAGATGTGTAAATTTCGCAAATAAAGGGAATCAGGACGACCCACATGTGCGAGCATGAGATCTCGGAGAATGCAAAAGAACTAGCACCATCGCAGGAAAAATGGCAGTTCAGAAAACTGCACCGACAACAAAGGTCGTTAAGGCCGCAACAGAGGGAGTAATGCACTGAAACAGCTAAAGCCCCGTGCCAAACGCAAGCAATTATCTGGATGTCTTGCGTACTGGCAGCTGACCAGGCCAAAATATGCCGCGTATTTAAGCACTTCAGCACCATAATGTCGTACCAATGATTTGTGCTTATCGCTTGTCCACCGCTCTTCAAGTGAATTTCTAGGGAATCCAAAAGCAACTGAACGCTGCTTTAATTTAAGGCTGAGGATAGAGTGAATGTTCTCTCTCCTCTCCTCAAAATGTAAAAAGGAATCCCAACAGTAGAAATAATGCCATAATCAGGTTCAATGGACCTTGATGAGTTTCGCTATACAATTTTGATCAAAATTTAATCTTGCCTATCTAATTTACAATTGCGTTCAGGTCTGAATCCACCTATTTTTCAGCAAGAAAATCACAGATGCAAGTGGGGGTGGTAAATTTAAACCTTAAGCATTAGAAGGAAGGAAAAGTGTACGCATTTAGGCCTTCGACAGCAGTTAAAATCTTGAAGCAAATATAAGCCCTCGATCTACGATTACGAAGCAGAAGCGCAACATTTATGCGGATGAGGGGGGAAAGATGGCAAGGTTCCATCCACATTCTAAGCTGATCAAACACCAATTTTCAGGTTGTGAAGGCCTGGAGTAAAGTTTCAATGAAACGAGGGAAAGGGCCATTGAATGATACATTGCCGTAGAAAAACTTGAGCAAGTTTAAGAAGTAGTTCCGAATGAAATTGACGATTATTTAAGCTGCTTGGAAGACTAATTTAGTGCCGTAGAGCTAGTTTTGAAAGCCGTATCAATGTCATATCTGTATCGTAGGGTACGAGCTCGTAACGCAATTTGACAATAAAGTGAGCTACACAAGTAATACTCGACGAAAACAAATTAGACCAGTCATGAACGAATCAAGCAAGAATGTGTGAACAAAAGAAATGCTACGTAGTATCCCAACAGAGGAAAACCAATAAGCCAATCTCCTTAAGGAAAAATTGGGACACTCTTAAACACAGGCAAACACTGACTTCTACAAGTATCAAACAATACATAAGAAGCATTCTGCAAACATAAGCAACGAAATCTACCAGAAGAGCATAGTTTCAACAACCACGCGTGATGGAATTACGTATTTTAGCTGTGCGAAAAGGACCGCTCGGTTTGTACGCAAATGATGATCAGCAAATAAGGCAGCAAGGCAAGTAGCAATACTCCGGCATTTCAAACAATCAACATTGCACATACACATGAATACTAAGTCCAATGCACTGCGGAGAGTAGAACTTAGCACCTACCTTCAGGAACGGTTCAACCCCATAGCTAGAAAATAAAGATCCCAAGTAGCAAACGAGAACACAAAAGAAGTGGGCCAAAATTGCTAGGGTATTTGGGAACAGAGCCATGAATTAAAGCAAAAACATGAATGGATTATCTTGACGCGATTATGCAGAAAGCAGTACTATCCTCTTCCAGTTGCACGCTTTGAAGACCCGTGCATTAAACCTCCACAAAGCTAGCATAAACGTTAAAGGAAATAGTCTCGGTGAATGTGTCACCTACGATCCATTCACGATGTGGATCGGGATTAATGGTACAGAATAAGGTTAGTAACCGGGCAGCATTAGTAATAGAGGACTTAACAGTCAATTTTTGGTAACAAGGGAGCAGTCTACTCACCAAGATGACTTACCGACGGAAGTGGTAGATGCTACAGAGACGTCGGACGTGGCAGAAGCTAGCAAGCCGCTAGGAGGAGGCTCGGTGATGTTGGTAGAGACAATGGTGTCGCGGGGGTAGAGTGAAGAGGAGGAGGCGGAGACGTGAGGAGCATTGATAGCATTAATGGTAGCAGTCGTGGCAGCGGTAGCACCGCTGGGAAATCCATGAGACTGTTGATCCATTGCTGCTATAGCAGAGGTGGCGCTGAGGTGAGACGGTGGTGTGGGCAGGCTAATCTCTCCAGGACGAATAACAGCAAGAGGGAACCAAGCTTTCAAGTAGTTGGAACACCAAAGACGTACCGTTCCGTCATCTCCAGCAGAAGCCAAAATGTTTCCTTAAAAAGCAATCAACACAGACAACAGTGAACATCACGATTTGTTTTCACATTTCATTCGAAGATTTGGTGCGACTAATCCTGAACAATTTACGGTTTGTTATTGCATAAAACGAAATCACCTTAGAAAAATGGGATCAATGATTTAATACCACCTTTATAAGAGCAATGAATAATTTTTGGAAACCGCAGGCAGAGTAGCTGGGCGGACGTTTCAGAAATCCTACTTACAGGGTTCACATCAATCCCTCAAAGTACTAGCTACATGTTTTTCTTGCAAAAAATTGATAAATAAACATTGAATTCTTTTTATCCTAATTGATGACCACCCAAGGTGTGAAGCAACACCTGCATAGAATTCTTTTGGGAATACAATTAAACGTCGGGAAAACACGGAGTAAATGCACCGTTAACTAGAAGCGAATCACGGTCAGCCCGATGACCACCCGCACAGGTGCCACTTTCCAGAAATCAGTCACTAGCAGCATCCAGAGGAAGCGTTTTACGAGGGTTCCTTATGGGGCCAGCGGAAGCAATAACACTCAGGTACGAGTGACGGGAAATTTCCAGACCGCTCATTGAGGTGACGCACCAGTGATGTTAAATCTCACAATAGTAAAATCAGTGAATGACTGTATTCTGCAGAGAGAGAAGTCTACATATAAATTGAACTGGTTGAGGCGCACACTATCTGCTAAAAAACGACTTGGAAATCGAGTTTATGGACCAGAATCCTCTTGATGATGGGCATCAAATCAAAATCATAGGTTGTATAACTAACCTCAAAGCTGTTTAAAGGACAAATAACCCAACCAGCATGAAAATAGCAAGGTTTTGGCTTCCCCAATTTGCAAAAGCCTAAAGTCGAAATTACTAAACTTCAGTGTTATGAATTCTCTTTCATGGGAGGAATTTGTCGGATACATGTTCCCTTTCCCACACACGAAGATGTAGCGCAGTTGGGTGGGGCACAGACACGACCAACAAAAAGGGGCGTACAAATTAGAGTTTGCGTGCATGCATAACAAAGTAAACTTCTGTCTTTCCGTTCCACCACTCGCACTGCAGAGCTTGGACGCTAAAGTTGAAAGAGGTGTGAAGTTGTGAGTGAGTTCATTCTAAATCGGAAACCACAACCTCATGAAACTAAGAGCCGCACAACAAATACAAAGAATTGTTAAATATGATCCCTTCAAATTCCAGACATCAACGAAAAAGGTAAAATCTGGCGAATAAGTATTAACTTGGTTCGTAATAAATTTCACAAAGGTTGACTGAGTTTTACAATCAGAAATAAACAAATTAGTCAGTAGTCAGCATATAATCAACAATAAAAAGTAATCTTACATTTGAAGGAACTGTCAAAGGCGCCTCCAATGAAAAAAGAGACAGAAAATTATTGAATATATTTGAATAAGATAGATTTTCTTAGTGATGCCAACTCGACAACCCCCTTAGGCACAGAGGACATAAAATATGCACAGCCACAACAAAAACAGAAGAAGCAGAAGGAAGAAGTATCTTGAGGAGATGCGCACGGAAGCGGATGCATGGTTGCACGCACGCGCCCACACACCCACGAGGTGGGCGATATTCACGAGTGGCAAATCATTGAAGTCTGTGTCTCCACCCTCGCTCCCTGTAACTTCCCTCCCTGTTTGTATGTAAGCCTGGGTGCACGTCTTCATCAAAACGTGGACACAGTGCAGTACCCGACTCGCCCCTGTGCATAGCTAAGGAAGGACACAATCGGGCAAGCGTGAGTGTGCGCCTTTGACACTGCAACTAGCAGGCGACGCCGCCTTGCATTATTAACGCGCGAGCACATTTTGTGAGTTCTTTGCAAAATTTCATAGGAGGAAAGGGGGAAGGAGGAGGGAGTGGAGGTTTAAATTTACTTTGGAAAATTATGAGGACAAAACATGGCAAACAGAAGTGAAGATAACAAACATTGTCAATTATAGTCTAAAACGAGCTTCGTGAATTAGCACAACTATTTCTTCATCACTTAGGAACGGACCGAGGTGTCTGTGTGCATTAGTCATTGAAATCTCGCGAACCTTCGACATTTTTGACGAGCTTGTATCAGTGAATGCAATGGTATGATCCATTGTGATAAGCCTAAAAAAGACCATTTGAGCAAATATTTCTCCTCATATAATTCAAATCATAAGGAAATTACACCAGTAAATTAAATTCATCGTAAAAGCGAAGATTTTTAAAAACCAAGGGCGAAAAGTTGGCCAGTATCAGCAGGATCCCAGCTCAAAAACGATATCTTTCCAACTTCAAGTAACGTTTATTAGCCGATGACACCGAATCTTGTAAGCGATCTTTAAAACAAGACACATACAACCAATCATTCATCTTACTAATAAGCAATGGGATCAAGCGCAACCCTCTTTTATGCACTTCAGTGAGAAATTGCCATTCGGTTTATGCTAAGGATCAGTTCGTGCGTCGAACAAGAACTCGGTATCCGTATTCCTGTACAACTATGAGCAACTCATGAAACAATTCCAAGAAATTGGAGCCAAATCCCAATACTACCTCAAAATCAGCCTAATTTACCTTGGTAATTCCAAGCAACTCGTGAAACACGACCACCATGATTCTCAAAACGAGCCATCACAGAGACATTGTAAGCGCCCGGTGTGTTGACTCCATTCTCCGCTTTAAAAAATTGACACTATGATAAGATTAGTACTTACAAATCAGTAAGTAAAAATATCGTCGATGACTGACCAACTTGTGGAGCGGTTACAAACTTGATGAGGAGAATAAGGAGGATTTCAGAGCCGACAGCTAGAACTTGATAAGACTGGCCCATACTGGGTGCAAAGGCAACGTCGTAGACAGGGTCCTTGATATCGACTATATCCTGAACCAGGTTCCAGCGGCGAGAGTTCTCATTATACTCAAGGAGGATAAGTTTGCCATGTCCGGAGTTAACATCCGACCCTTGAACGGCCAAGTGGCATGCGCCTAACTCTCCCAGCTCACCTTGATGTTGATTTCTATGGAGCGAAGCACTTCCTACCGCTATAAGCGGTGGATCTAATCGCGACTGAAATTTTAAAATGGCACATTTACTTCATGAAGAATCAGGAGTTACTTGCGTCGGAGACGCTTCCAGGTGCATTCATTTAATTTATACAAAAGTGAATCAGGCCCTTCAAGGATCAGAGCAAAGCCAAGTTCTGACAAAAGCAATAACCATAAGCAAATTAAGTAGTACCATCCGATAAAAATTAAACGCTTTCCAAAGATCTCAACTTAATCCGACACAGAGGTGCTGACAGAATCCATATGCCATTATGATAATGCTAGCATGTATAGTAAGATTGCTCAACTTAGGGGTCAGACTACCTTCCCTTGTTATTACCCGTTCTGCTCATAAAGCAATGCATAACCCATAAATATACATAACGTATAAACCCGACCAGACCGAAACTAGACCTCAATTTCTGCTTCAGTTTTCTAAAAGAAGCCAAATGCCAAACTCACTTGGGACCACGCCAAACAGGAGCCAGTCATGTTCGTTGCAAAGTCACATTGAACGGTCCACTGGCACAGGTTCATAACATCCTGGAAGCGAGAATTGCTTCAATAACAAGAGGGAAGTTAAGCATGTGGGTAAAGAAAAACAACGCATAAACAAGTGACAAGTGTAATGATGAGAATTGAGAGTGAACCTGCGCTTCATAGACCAGAAGCACCCCATCAGTTGAAATGGCAGCCAACTGGAGGCCGAGGAAGCGCGGTGCAAACATCAGACCGGTGACGGAGTTGCGAGGATCAACCAGATGGGCCCGACGGATCCACACACCACCACGAGTGTTGGAAGTGCTAGTGGGATTAACTGCAGCGCTCTGTTGGCTGCTGCCAGTATCTGTAGCACACGCACCCGTCGCTGGCGTCGGTGTCGGCGCGTCTCCACTCGTGCTTGGGGCATTTACAACCTCCTGGTATTGGCGTAAAAAAGTCCAGAACTAATAGAATCGCACAAAGGCAACAGAAACTGCTAGTCAGAACTAGATGAATACTACTGCATATGTGCGCACTGGAAGCGGCTTACAGACACTCATGCGACTGATAATATATTGTAGCTCCGACTTGACAATAAATAAATACAAGGACTAGATGAATAAAATTAGAGCTAGCATTATACGAAACTACTCGATGTTACATGAAGAGTATGCACAGGACTCCGATAATAAGCACCTGTCCAGTGATTTCCTCCCAAATGGCAATGGTTCTGTCGAATGAGCAAGTAGCAATGATCTGCCCAAATTCAGGATGCGCCCAACAAACACGCCACACCGACCCCAGATGATATCGCCACCTAGCAGTACACTCCCACTCCTGATCATCGCGGAGATCCCATATCTACAGTAATGAAAAGCACAAAAGGAATGTTTTCTATTACAGCTAACAAAGACAACCAATCAAAATGAGGACAAGCCGTTACAAGTGCACAAAAAAGTAAGATCATTACTCCATACAAACTAACTTTGATCATTTGATCACTGCTGCAAGTCGCCATCCTTTGGCCATAATAATCATAGGCGACATCATGGATAAGATCAGCATGATTGCTGTGCACACTTTTTGAAACGAACATTGGGAGCTAGATAATGATAGACAGAAAACAAGTAATAATCTGCAAGAGGTTCAATAACAATTCGAACATAAATTAGGAGAGGAAGTTAACTCTAGCTTATGAACAACTAAGAGCTGAAGTTCAGGCAAAGGAAAATAACCGAGAAATCAGTAAAAGGTACTTTTAAGGAGGAAAAAACAGATGAGCCTTCACCAAGTATTCATGCTCGCTGTGACTGCAAAAGCAAATCTCACACTTTAAAATGACTGTTATTGCCCCACACTATGACTCTCACCGCCAACTAGCAATAAGATGTGCGGCGAGAAGCGCCTTGAGAAATGCACACCCGACGGAGGGAAGCGCCAGCTGTTTGAAACACTTAAAGGAAATGAAAATTAAAACTATAATACGCCCTTTAAATTCGCACCACATCCATAGAATTATACAGATTCCTTTGAAATATGGCAGAATTTAGTAACTGCATACTCTGCAAGTCTTTACCTGAGATTTTTGAATGGCTAGAGTATTTGCGAAGTGTCGAGTAAGATGGTTCTGTGTTGTTGCCTTTTTAGCACAATGGGATGAATGAAGTCTATAGTTCCGACCTCGTCATCGTCTGTGGAGTCTCGCGGCTTTCGTAAGGAAAAGTAGGCATCCAAGTGATAGGTGTAATAGTTTATGTGACTACCTATTGGCTGTTTGGCTGGCCCTTGTACGCGTAGTCTGACCCTTGAGCCAAGCTCAGGCTTAATCTCTTTGTTCTTCCTGAAATATGTGTATTCAGCTCCAGTTAATGCCGCCATCCAACCGCTGGGAAGTCTTAGGGCGCTATAGAGTTATGGCATGGCCCTAAGGCAGGTCTTAGTGTGTAAGGGTAAGAAGAGTAAGATAGTAACTTCTAAACATCATCGTGCCTCCCAGTCTTTTCCTCATAAATCAGCTTGTTTACAAGTTTTGACATCTCAAGAGGGTGGGAGCAATAGTGCAAGAGCGGGCGGAAGGGGAGAGAGAGATGGACCCAGAGCGGGATTCAAGCCGCCTCAGTCGCATCTCTACCGTGCCTATGACTTACAAGGCATCTAAACAAGATGAAAATGGGATAGATTAGACTTTGACTTGGCTTGAAGGCCGGTACACGTGTTGAAGAGCGAGACAAATGCCGAAGTAACCGCCTATCACACAGGTAGTCACATAAACAAAAGATTTCAACTGTAGTTGCAGCATCTCGAGACCTTCTTCTAGATACTGGATGGCGTGAGATTCTTTAGGCAAAAACTTATTCAGACAGAGAGGAAGTGGTAAGCACCGAAATGTTATTACAGCAGCAATATCAACGCTAAGCCACCACCATTTTGTCCTGGCAATCGAACAAATAAGGTATCACATCTCTTGTGTTCGATTCCGTTACCTTTATTACCATTTGACATTTACCGACATTAGTCATTTTAGTATCTAGATTTTTTGACTACTTATACGACTGGTGAACCTTGGTATTCACCTTACTTTAGGTTGTGTGGACTGGCCATTGGGTTAAGCCCAAGCTTAATTTCTTCCCTTTCTCTTTAAACTCAAGTATTTAACTCTATTTATTTATACCTAGTGGAAAGTCTGGGACGTTGCGCTATGCTATAAAGTGCTGAGACTGCCTTATGGAGAAGACATGGTGCTTGAGAAGAGCCGGAGTATTTTAAGTGACCGCAACCAAAAATGGGGGTTCAGCGTGCAAGGTAGTCCACTTGTACATCATACTTTTAAGTAATTTTGCAACGTTTTGTCACAATGCCTTCATTATATTGATTCTTTACTTTTGTGGATATCGTAAATAAATAAAACCTGTTTATCTACCGTTCACCTTATGAGCTCATTTAACTTAGCTCTCCTTAGAAGTGCATGAAATTACTAGGCAAACCTTTAATCCGATCTGCAATTTTAGCATTACCCCCAGTCCCGTTAGTGTCGCCCTTTCCATCATCAAAAGGTGATGGGCTGTACCACTGCGGAAGGAGGCTCACTGTGAGCGGACAGGGCAAAAGCCCAGCGCAGTCCAACTTCTCCATTTACTGCAACTCCGATTAGTGTGTTTTTCCTTTAAGTTATTTAGCCGCATTCTTGAAATCTCGTGAGGAACCTATCTGCATGCATTATTGGCATCAGAAGCCTGGTAAATGTCGTCGCATACCAGTAAACTAAAAAATGAAATATATAACATGTGTGAGGCAAAATGTATGAATGCGTTAGGTATCGGTAATTGCTTGTATACTTCGGTTCTCGACCAACTATAAGGAAAATGTAGGCAATGTGAAAGCGTTTTAAAAGCCATCTATGTTCTCCCATTGCTCGTCAAGTAAAATAGAGGATTTACCTGATTTTGGTGACACATATCACGGCAATGCTGCCAGTGGAATGGACCGTAAAATTTGTATGTTCGAGACTGTGTGGCCGGTGCAATCAGCGCCACGTGTACACTTGCCACGAGGGCGGACGTGCTTGGGTGAATGTTAAGGTAAGGCAAGGTCTTGGAGCCTCATTCGGAGGTAACATGGCCAAGTAGTGCTTCAGTCCGTTGGGCGGATGAGTCAAGCGCAGTGGTTCAAGCACAGTGCGAAGCATGACATTTAACCTGCGTTGCTAAAAATATTCACTTTAATAAAATAAAGCCTTGGAATTTTCTAAAAATTTGGTCAAAGCGAAAAATTGGATTTGGTTTTCTGGCTAATAACCTGCTAGCAAAGCCCTCTTTACTAAAAGCACATTGCTAACGATGCCGAAAATTATGTCATTCCTTGCCAATTTTAGGAAGGCAACCTTAATGCGTGGCAGATGACTTTACTTCCACGGAACTGCAATAGAGCGGTCACTAAAATGAGTGGTTTTCTTCTCAATTTTAGAGTTGTTACTCCCATTGGCACAGTGAAGATTATGATCTCCGCCCCGAAATTGTGTTCTAAAATCTGCCAAAATGGACCACAAGAGGTGTCTGTGTTAAGCACCGTTAAGTGCGGTGATGCTCTGACTTACTTCTTTCGTTTTAAAGGATTTAATCAATTTAATTCCTCCCTATAACACTTTAATTACATTTGAAGGGAATTTGTCCACTTATGCGCTATCTTGCCTACCTTACCCACAGCCGTTTAGGCCACTGTAAAGATTTTAGCCCATTTTCGATCGTAAGAAGTAGAGTATCATTAAGCTAATAAAAACTTATTTGTAGGGTTATTTTTTTACTGTTCTGCGATCATTATCTCCGCATATGAACAAAACACACTTCGTCGGTTGCTCCCTCGAAATCAACCACCCGCCTTTCAATTTCTTTTGAACAGTAGAGGAGATTGAACAATCGCGTGTAAGGAACGCACATCATACGTTCGTTGACAGCGAAATGCCATTTTCCTCATGCATTGTCAACAACATTCAAACCAACACTTCAATCACGTTATCACCTAAAGTAAAGTCGGACTCGGTTTGAGAAGAACTGTGAGGTGCAGAACAATGTTGTTAAGACGGATAAGAAGTTCCATGATTTTTGCTTGAATATAGGCGGGAATGAGCATTTAAGCCTCGCAAGTTTGCCTAGCAAATCCAACGATCTTTCCCTCTTCAAAATCACTAGCTGTCCTAGAGACAAAGCACAACACTTTGGATACTATACTTTAATGAGAAAAAAAATTTTAGATATGGGCTGGTTAATGGAGTCTGTTAAAGACGCATATGATAATTATTTTATTTCTACCTTGACTTAGCTGTGTTACAATCACATATCATTAATAGTTAGAAGTGCTGAGGAGTTTTGCGCGCATTGCTTTTGAAGAAGCATCAGTAAGTTGCAATAACTGAACCCATCGCTTTGGATAACTACCATATCCAGTGCTTAAATACATTCAAGTGCTTCTTAGAACAAAGACCCAATACGAGTGCTCCATAGCAAATGGTAACAACAACCACTCAAATGAGTAAAAGTAACACTTAAATTACGATATACCGAGGAGCCGTTCTATAGACTTATAACTTGATTCCAAAGTCTCAACTGGGCTAAAGTTTGCTAGTGGTGGGTGCTGGCTTTTACAAACAACATTTACCACCTTTTCCCGTCTGGGTAGCTGTGAAATTTTATTTAAATCATCCTTTGAGTTTTCAATTTCGACAAATACTCTACGAAACTATTGCAATTCATTTACGATGTTTTTGTTTGAGAAAATTTTTACTCGGAAAAATGGTGGTTAATAGTCGAAGCAGTTTAGTGTGAAGTGCATTGCAGTCGGTCAGGCTTGCGATGGCGCGGCATCGCCAGCGCACCGGCCAATTGGGAGGCGATGCCTTAAGGCGGGAAGAAGGGACACCCAACCAATCGGCATCAACTACCTGACAGCAAAGTATATATAGCAGGTGATATTGTTCCACTGTCCCAAATGGTCCAACGCTATGATCACATCAGCCTCCTTCCTAATAAGTCTGCTCTGCGTGACCCGCTCTCTCTCGGCTCCCGGTTGGTCAATGCATTATGCTTTCTGTCGACACTGTTGCATACACGATTCATCTTATTAAATTCCATACACAACCTTTTGCATATTTACACTTCGTAGTTCCCATTTAAGTACCAACGTATTGCAATAACTCCTACTGCCTTAAAATGAGGCTAATTTACGGTTAAGCTTCTCAACTTATACTATTATGAAATGACTACCCAAATTTCATCGGAAGACAAGGTTGCAACAAATAAGCAGTGTTGGTTCACTCGCGAAGTTACTTCCATTATAATTCAAATCAAATTCAATTTACGTGCTCTAAACCAAGGTTGCATATGTATCATCTTCGGTGAAGTTATTTTTGTAGGAGTGTATTTCAGGCTACGGTATGAGACGCATGACATGGGGTTACTCCTAAGTAGACTGCTCTGCACCACTTAAAACCATTCTTTTCTTGGTCCACACAATTACACAATCGCTAAGTCCCAGTTTTGTGCCAACTTCTCCTGATTTGCTTCAAAATGACAGTGTAACTGCTCAGGAAGTTAAGCGAGAATTGAGTGGTAGCATGGATCCTTTTTGAAAATAATAGCTTGTTTGAATTTGTAAAAGAAAATTTTGATTTCATCTTCTTTGAACAGGAAGCAAGAGGATTTACTACTATCGTCATGAGAGTTATGGTTTACCCGATCAAGTGATTTTGAGGCTGTTGACCTATGCTAACCTGCCCCACCTACCCCATTGCAGCCCTGCAAGTGATGGGTCTGAGAGGAGCACCCGACGATGCAAGTGAACGCTGCAAACGCTCTGCTGATGTGTTTGGCTACTACTACACGGAAATTGACCTCTCCGACTTCGGTCGTACGCCCGACGAGGTAAAAGAAGAGGTGAAGCTGGCCAAAATTAAACAGGCAATTGAGAACAGCGACAGTGAGTACGCACTCATCATTGACAGGTGAATAGTCGATCGAACGATTGGTTGATAGTCTTAAACTCACTATTAAAATGATGACAACTATGTTTCCATTTTATTTAACAGCCACTTATCTGTTCTCATTGGGCGACCGAACGATCTTATTCAAACGGCTGAAAATCTTAAGGCGGACTACATTTATGTTGCTGGGGTAAATATTCGTTTGTGATTGCCCAAGCAAAGTCAATTAAGGTCAGAGGGGATATTGCTAAGCTTCTATATACATTCAATTCAATAATATTTTTACCCCAGAAAAGTAGTGTATCATATTTATTAATAAAGATCGAAGTAGTACGAAATGGCCGGTAAATGCTGAGCAAACGGCTCAAAGTCAACTCGCCTTTTAATCGACTTGGTAACCATCACCTTTGGTGTCCATAAGCACTTCAAAATCTCGTTAATTTTGACAGAACGCCGCAAGTGCAGATGAAAAACCCCAACCTGATTCTATGTTTTATGGCCTTTTTACTCGTACCAAACTGCTTGACGAAGCCATTCCAAGACCCCCGTCAGTGCTCAGCAAGGACTATGTTACGTCCTACCTCAAAGGAATAGAGAAGGTAAATTATTGGTTGATTTGTGTCAGTGACATAAAAAATCGCAAAATCAACTACACTTTCACCTACTCATTTCAGCAAGCTGCGTCAGTTTTGATGGACACGACGTCCAGTTTCTTTCAGCAAATTACCACAGATGCAGGTAAGTGCGAAAACTCCACTAATCTGCTATGTTGTGTATTTCTGCAGTATGCAGATAAAGTATTAACTTCCCTTAAATAGATCTGAATATCCGCTTTGAACACGACCGTGGTTATATCCAAAACGTTCGCACTGATACAGTGCCCGTAGTTGCTGTGGCAACAAACGATCATGAATCAAAGGTAAGAAGCGAAGAGTCACAACTTTATAAACGCTAAGCTGGAAATGGGTGTGACCTTACGTGGCACTGGAAACTAACATATGCATTGCGGTGACCTTGGGAAAGTGCCACGAATCACCGACGTGGCACATCCCGCCCCTAGAACACGTGGTGCTGCATTATGACGCGGGCCAGCCTGCTTGCGTGGCACGCAGGCGCCTCCTCTGTGGGCGCGCCACCGCGATGAATGCAAATTTTGCCTTTCGAAAATAGAAGGCATAGAAATTTAGTTATGGCAATCCGCAAGCCATAGTCCCTGCAGGACTGTACACTGGCATTATCACTGGTATAAATCCGGAATCAATAGGTGTCTTTCTCCTATTTACAAAAAATCTAAACAAACAATTATACTTGATTTGTGCCAATTATTACATAACTTTTAGAGGAAACTAAATGGCCTAAGTAATTACTTGACGCGTTCCTGGTCTCCTGAAACCGGCTGCCAAATTTGCGACGAAGACAGAATTGACCTCGAGGGACTTCGGGTAATGCCGCAGAGTGGTTAAAATTTACTCCAAGTAACTTGATACTGAAATTGGTAATCTTTCCCAACTTATGCTATCAGTAAAATGCAGCAAAATTTCCCTTTTTAATGCAGCGATTTCGCGTTCATTTGCTGATGCAGCTTTTCAAGCGATGTAGTCTCTTTTGCTAATGGGCAAATGAGGAGAGAGACCGTTTCATCCCTTCAGATTGTTGACTATCCGGTGGTGATGCTTGGTGTCTTCATCGTCCGTCCAACTCCCTTCCTTGAGCCTTTTTTCAGACGTCTAGCAAATCTTGATTATCCCAAGAGCCACATCCACCTAACAGTCTTCTGCGCAGTAAGTTGAATGAACAACCCTCCGTATTTTGCACTGAAGCAAATTTCTAGTGAGATCTAAAGTCCCCTCTTCCGATTTTCAGATACCAGATCAGCAAAAGTTTGTAGACGATTTCTTGGATGTGCATGGTTCATTTTACCGGTCAGCTGAAGTAATCAATTCCGACTTGCACCAAGAGCAGGATAAAGTATTCCTGCATGTAGCGTAAGTGTGTATTGGCCTTTATTCAGTCTTAAGGATTGAAAATAATCCAGCTAAACAATTACTTGTTCATTCGCTATAGAAATATGTGTCTCGAAAGGCCCGATTGCAAGAACCTCTTTTACGTTGAGGGAACTGCTCAGTTTACGTGGCCAGGAACGCTCAAACACCTCGTTTCAGCCAATCGTAGTGTAGTAGCTCCTCTTATGACTCGCCACAACACCTTCTGGTCAACTTTCTGGGGAGATATTGCCGAAGATGGGTCATACAAACGCTCCAACGATTATTTTGAAATCGTGGAACGTCGTAAACGGTGAATTATATTATTACATAACGAGTGTTTCTTTGAAAACTTCTGACATTCAGAGAGGACAGGCTTTGAACTACAATTTCCTTTGATGTATTACTTTGGTTTTACCGCTAGCAATTCTCCCTCATCTTATTGAAGCCAGCATTACCATTGCGGAGATGCATCCCTAGTTCTCAACTGTGTGACTAGGATGCTTGTTGGGGGGAGGGGGTTCTAAGTGCAGTTCGTTTGGGAATTGTTAAATTGCACGTTTTTTATCTGTTCTTAAGTGGTTTGTGGAACGTTCCACTGGTTGGATCCACTTTCCTGTTAAGTCGATGGGCGCTGTTGGAAATTACAAGTGACTTTATTGAGGAGCAATTTTTTTATCTGTCCCTTTCCTCTACGACAACCAAAAGGGTTAGTTTGCATTTACAAATCTACTCGCCTTCTTAATCACTACTCTTGTGCATAAAGTTGTACTACCCTTCAGAATGTCTTTATGTATGTCGATAACCGCGTTCAATTTGGTCGTCTTACCAATCCCACTACCTTTGGTCTTGTTCATTTGCACAACGACTTGTGGCAACTCTTCGACAATCCCATTGTAAGTATTCGATCTGCATACAAGGAACCATTCCTTTGAATAGAAGTAAAGTATGATAATAATATGGAAGAAGTTCCTTCAATGCTTAGACCATTCATTTATTTATGCAACAGAAGCACGCAACTCGTGCACTTAGAAGAGCACTGTCTTAGTAAATAAGCACAAATAAAAAACCAAACCATGTTAACATAGATGGTGAATCAAGGGTTTGAGTTTGCATACCTTTACAGGATTGGGAAGAGGCCTACATCCACCCCGACTACTACAAGTTCACAAATAAATCCATCACAAAGGAGGACTTCGAGCAGCCATGCCAGGATGTCTTCTGGGTGCCGTTGATGTCTGAGCTCTTTTGTCGACAGTTGGTGGAAGAGATGGAACACTACGGCAAGTGGTCTGACGGTTCAAACTATGACGCTCGTCTCGAGAGTGGCTATGAGGCCGTCCCAACTCGTGACATCCATATGCGTCAGATTGATTGGGAAGAGCATTGGCTCCACGTCCTTCGCACCTATGTTTACCCTATACAATTGAAACTGTGGGAAGGATATAACGACAAAGTATGGAATCAGAGCTTTTGAGTGTATTTGTTCCCTTCACTTTCCTCCCTCCCCTATGACAAATTGCACTGCTCTTTCAGCCATGGGCAAGAATGAATTTTGTTGTGCGATACAGACCCGGTGAACAGCCTTCTCTCCGATTCCATCACGATGCCGCCACCTACACTCTGGACATGGCTCTCAACCGAGCTCATGTCGATTATGAAGGTGGGGGTGTGCATTTCCTCCGTTATGGCTGTAAGCTCGTAGACACCCGCGTGGGTTGGCCACTCATCTTTCCCGGCCGACTGACTCACCTTCACGAAGGCCTTGAGACCACCAGTGGCACTCGATACATTTTCGTCACCTTTGTTAACCCTTGATCTGCATCACACAAGATTTTTACTCCTTCCCATCACACACACACAAACACCTATCATTGGATTTAAGCATTACAAATGCATGTATGAGTAGATTTACCTCTACGCTTTGTGAGCTGTACAGGGAAAAGAGACTCTTCTTTTAGTCAATGACATTGTTTACGCTGAAGTTCAATTGACTCTCGTAAAACTGCTGAAAGCCCTACATTACTGACTCTTGTCATCCTTGCTCAATGATGAACTTCTAGTTATATTAGAATTGAATTTGAAAGATGGTGGGAGCTGAAGGAATTGTTTTGGAGTACTTCGACCATTCATCAAAGATTTACTCCCCTAAAGGGAAAATTATGAGGAGTTTATTTTAAGCTAATGATTATTTTACCATCTGTACATGAAATCTCCTCAGCAGTTCTTCTAAGACACTTCCGCTTTGCATTTCTATCTTTATCACGAGAACACTCCCAGTAATTCCTTACATCTATCAAACAAAGGTCGCGAAACAGCTCTGGTTTCCTTAGTGAAGACAACTTCATTCAATTTACATGGAGCAAAGAGAGGTGCTGTAATAGTTGTAAGAGGTGGACAAGTGCCCCACAGAGGAGGATTTCGATATGACAATTAATCGAGGTCGTGGAACGCACATTTTGGTCAATTCGAACCTGACTACTAAACTGGGCTCAAACAAACAATCAAAGTTCTATTGTGTCGTTAACCTAGAAAACGTTCGATTCGCATTCAAACTTTCGGTAAACAATTCGAGTTTAGCTAATTGCGTTGTTTTTTGGTTTTAATCCTTGTAATATATTTTGTATAAAGGCCGAAGAGCAATAGCAATATGCGTTTAAGTGTAATTTGAGTTACTAGGTCTTCTTTATGTCAAAACGAAATAACCTTACAGAATGTGTTTTAAGACAAGGCTGGGAAAAGTCGAGCAGCTATTACTACTTTAGCAGACGATGTTTGAAATTTCAGCTTTCTCAAAAGTGGAATTGAAGTACGCACTGAGCACGAATGCAACCATTATGCCGAAGAACGTCCATGTTAAATGCTTTCTAGCAGCTGGAACTTAGAAAAAGTCTTCGTGACAAAGTCTGAAAGTCACCACATACTACACGCTAAAATCGTGATTGTGCCGGTCGCGACCTCTCTTTGCCATCAATTTTCATCCGCAAGGTGACTGCAATGAAGTCCCTGTCTATTGAAGTGTTAATTGAATCACGGGTATTACAATCGCTATTAGTTTCAATAAACAAATAAAAGAGTGTTATACAATAAGGGAGTTGATGTAAGGAAAAGTGGGAATAAAAGGAAGAGGATTAGGGATTCACAAAAGTCACAAAGATGTATCGCACGCCGCTGGTAGTTTCTAAACCCTCGTGTAGGTGCGTAAGTCGACCGGGAAAGATGAGAGGCCATCCGACGCGGGTGTCGACTAGGGTGCAGTTATAGCGCGGATACCGCACGCCTCCACCCTACGAGAAGGCAAAAGGACAACCACTAACAGACATTAGGTTTCTACTGAATTCACTTCCACGCCAATCTTCCAGCACTTGCCCTGTAAACGTCCAACTAGCACTGCGCTAACCCTATTCATGCATGACTTTATCGTTTCACAAGTTCCCTGTGCCTCTCGTTACCATCATTTAATGATCAGTGTATTAATGGTAGCCGTACCGTGTAGTCGATGTGAACACGGTTGAGAGCCATGTCGAGAGTGTAGGTGGAAGCGTCGTGGTGAAGACGCAGCGATGACTGCTCGCCCTGTTTGTAGCGCACAACGAAGTTCATCCTCGCGCTTGGCTAAAAAAATCCAAGGCTGGTCTTCCAAAACTAGTTTAGGGCCGGTATCAAATTCACTAGTGGAGTGGGGTTTATATCCGTGCTTGATGAATGCAAAAGCATTAAAGAAAAGGTTATTGGATCAAACAAAATTGGAACGTGCAGAGAGAGGAAGAAGCTGGCCAGTGTCGAAAGGTATCACTCACTTTATCATAGTACCCCTCCCACAGTTTCAGCTGAATAGGATAAACGTATTTTTGAAGGACGTGTATCCAGTGCTCTTCCCAGCTAATCTGTCTCATGTGGATATCAACAGTAGGCACGTTCTCGTATCCACCTTCGAGGCGAGGGTCGTAATTGGAACCATCAGACCACCTTCCAAAGTGCTCCATCTCTTCAATTAGCTGTTGACAGAAGGTCTCTGACATTAGTGGCACCCAGAAAACGTCCGGACAAGGCTGTTCAAAGTCAGCCAAGGTAGAGGAGGCGTTGGCGAAACGGAAGTACTCCGGGTGGATATAGCGCTCCTCCCAATCCTGGCGCAAAGTACGGCATTAATGCAGGGATTAAGTTAGAATCCTGCTCATATTTCCAAATAAGACATGAGATCGCTTTTGGGCTGGCAAGTAGTGCAAGACTATAGACTATACGCAGACTAGTTGAATGGATCAGGGTGATGCTTAACAATAAGGGTTATATTGGTAGCACTCGTAAACATTGGCAGAACTTCATTCAAATTGGTTTTGATCAATTCTACTTGTATGCAATCAAGGAACGCACTGTAGGGTTGTCAAAAATCTGCCAGAGGTCGTTGTGAAGGTGCTCCAAGGTGTAAGACTCTGGATTCACCAGATGCCCGAAGTCCTTCCGGTTGTCCACGAACAGGAAAATGTTCTGTGTTTCATAAAGGACCGATTAACGCACACAAAAACTGTCAATAATCACTTGGTAAAAGCGAATGGCTGGCTGATTTCTTTTTCCTTCATCCGCTTATATGTAACCATGTGAGAATACAAGTGAGCTAATGTGGCTGTTGGGGGTTCTTTGATTGTGGTGCAAATGAAAAATAACTTACTCGGTGAAGAGCAGCATTCGCAATATCATAGAGGAGGAAGTCACTATCCTCCAGTGCCTCCTGAAGTTGCCCTATGGCCCATCGTGAGAAGAGTATTGAGCTTCCAACCAGCGGCACATTCCAGAGTCCACTGAAACACCCATAGGAGTAATCATATTTAACACCATAGTTGATGCTACCTCTAGATCTTGATCTGATGAAGAAGTCAAAGAAGTGATTATGCAGACCGATATGGTGCATTCGACCTAAAATTTCTGGCACATGCGCTGCCTTACAATAGTCACTGATACAATTATAAATGCGAAACTGAAATTGACCCATTCTTGTCAATCAACTTCAAAAGAAAACAGCTCGAGCTATGCCATGAAGAGGAGTCAGACCCACGTTTGGCGGCGTTCAACGATGTCGAAGTAGTCGTCAGAACGTGCATAGGCACCTTCATCGGTAAGAGCACCCCAGAAAGAGGACCAGAATTTGCCTGGACGCGTCATCATAGGCGCAATGGCGTTCTTCTTCGCCGACACCAGGTGCTCCAACGTGTCTGCCTTGCGCAACTGGGTGGTTGGCTCTATGTAGAAGAGGTATTTGCATCCAGTTCTCTCCCAGCAGTAGGACCTAGTTAGGATGAAGGAAAGGGAAGTTGTTTGAGTAATGAGATCTATGAGTCCATAACGGAACTACCAATAACTTGTAAATGACATGAAAGATGCAGAAAGAGGGCTCACAAAGCCTGTCGGAATACTTCGATGGGTCGTGCGCTCGGATGCAATCGGATCTCTCTGCTCGAGTGGTATTCATGCAAACTCTTGGCAACGTAATCATCCACAATTGACTTTTGCTTCTCCACCTTAAAGTATTGAAGAAACAAGCAGCTACAATTTGCTTTTTCGCTAATATCTTATTTGCTGAGACCGAAGAGCGTAGAGGAAGTAGAATAACGGTAGACTTACAGCACAGTATGTGACCAGGTCAATTCGGTTCTTGGGATAGGTAAGATTTGCCAGACTCTCAAAGAAGACCTCAAGGAATGGCGTGGGGTCCATTATCAGGACACTAAGTTGGATGACGGGATAATCGAGATGCTGTAAATGCATAAAACTTAAATTATCCTCTTGTTTCTCTCATTCCCTTGTCACTAAACCCTTATCCATACTGGAGTCGTTCTGTCAACACTACTTATGGAAGCAATCAATTTCACATAAAAAGTATTCATAGGAGTACTTTGAAATATGCATGTGAGTGAGCGAAATTGGAAGTATTGCATAAATCTTGTTTGTGCAATAAAATGAGACTACGAAAGGGGAAGCAGACGTACACTCAAACGAGAGAGATCTAGCCTCTCCTCATCACAGATCTGACATCCTGTCTCAGGCGACCAGGCGCGGACCAGGTAGTTAGACAATGAGTTCAAATTATGCTGTAAACAAAATGTTTTTTACTGTTTTACGTCGTTCCAGCGGCATAATAAAAGTGTTCTCAAACAAGTAAGCTGCGTGTTGATTCATTTTGGCTAGCCTGCAAACATACTGCTTTGTTTTATTGCCTATTGGAAGGAAAGTGTGACTGCTGATCGTCAGGAGGTCGTTGTTTCCTGACCTGCACGAATGCAAACTAGCCACACCTTGTCGACTGTATACAATTCAAAATGGATTTTACGAATCATTCCATGATCTTGACTGTGGAGTTCAATTTTTATGGCTAATTCACACCTTGCCTTCAGGAGAAGAGATGAGGATGGGTGGGACGGTGTCCTTGCGCACGTTCTGCACGTACCCACGATCACCCTCATAGCGGACCTTTAAATATGCACCTGGAAAGGTAATGAAAAGCCAAAGTTAATCTCGATTTGCGTACTGAAGGGTTGAAGAGCCATCATAACAAAGGCTTTCCTACCAGAGTCTTTGTTGACAATTTGAAAGAGAGCGGATTCTTCATCTATTACAACCTTGATAGAATCCTGTCAAGGAAAATAGCATACTGTGATGAATGCTTATTGTCAATGAAATCGTCTCATATTTGGCAACCTAACATGATTTAATGTGTCAGTAAATATGGAACACGTGAGGAAGTGGTGTTGGGATAGCAAAGTACCCGAGCAAGTGCAGAGCGCAGTTCACTGATGAACTTGTCAACAAGGTCATCGGATGAATCATTCGGAAGGCCCTCCAGCACTTCTTTGAGTCTACTGGTCCGGGCCATCATGCCTGTGAATATAGCATCGCTGGAAGGCAGTTTTTTGCCTGAGTTAACATCCTACGAATTTTAAAGAGGTGCAATTTAGCGTAACCATTAATTGGTAGACCAGACCCTATTTGCTGCTTACTGTTTCAATGAAAATGAAATCCGCTCCAATCCTTTCGGTCTGCTTTATAGGATCGGCAGGACTGTTGAGTAGGATGGAGGAGTGACTGTAATAGATGTGAAGTATTAGTTTGAATGTAAATTTATTTCGATTGATTATACTAAATAGACACGTCACTAAATCGGAAGAACTTTTGCAAGGGAGTAGTGAGCTGACCTGTCAAGAATAAGAACATATTCAGTGGTGATGTCGCCTATGAGGTGACGAAGGGCCTGCACCTTGCGTCCGAAGGGGATTTCGTATGTGGTGCGGCCGTAAGCAGAGAGGTCGATGAGGTCGTGAGCGTAGCCGAAGACCTGAAGAGAGCGCTCAAATCGTTTCACAGCGTCATCTATCTCCCCACGTAGGCCGATTACGTGAAGTCCTATGGATAAAGTAAGCGAGCATGGAAGAGTCATGCTAGAGGAGCGGGTGCAATTATACATACAACTTACCGTAGGCTTGTGCCCTGCACGAGGCTATAATGGAGAGGAGAGGAAGGAGGTAGAGCCACAACGGCAACCTGAGAGTTGAAGCGTTCATGATTTAGCCGAGAGGATGTCAGACCAGTGTCGCACCATCCCATCTTATTTATAGCCAGCACGCAGACGAGCTAACTGGTTTCGATATCCTCTGTCCCCATTGGTTGGGTGCAGCGACTATTTGCCCATTGGTCTGCTTGTAGTGAAAAGTGGGCATCGCTAAATGTAGACACTTTAGTGCTTCACTTGATCAATACTCCATTTGAATGGGCTTTTGGACAGGCACACTACAAACATTCACCGAAAACCACTTTCATAACTTTGCCTTGTTTGCCTTACCCTTGTGATTCCAATTATTGCGCTCATTTCTCTAAGTCAAGTGGACAATTGTCTAGAAACATTATAGAATAAACTGCTTTGCTAAAGTCTTTGTTTGTTATGAAGAAAGTATTATATGTTATGCAGTACATTTTAGCATCCCGTAGAAAACGCTGGACAATTAATGTGCTAATGTGTTTGCGGTAACGTTTCCTTAATACAGTGGTAAATAATGAAGCCAACTGTGTAGTATTTAAAGGGAATCTCCCAACGCTTGCTTTCCCTTTGACAAACATGGAACCCCTTTTCGTGGGCGATCAAAACTGTGCTTAACGGTGCAGAAAGTCATTAACTAAGGTATTTTATTTAATATACATCATTGGGACCAAAGGGTCACAACAATAAGCTACTCAGCTCAGTCTAATGGATCCATCGTGGCTTTCAAAGCCCAAGAACTTACATTTTCCGCAGTTCTATGTTTAACGTTGCGTCGAATGTGTCTAAATATTTGGGATGTATCCGATGCAACGTTGAATTATGATTGTAAGTCATTTAGGTCTTCGGATTTCCTAAATTAATGCTTTTAAGCGATATTTTGCTCTGGGGCCTAATAAGGAGGTGCGAATTTGAAGCCAATCAAGGACAGGAGAGTGAGCATAAAGAGCTCTCAATTAGAACTGCTGCACAGCAGCAATACCAAGTCCACCTTGCCGCTGGCAATTATTGTCGAATCGCCGTCATCGCATTGGTGAAGTGAGCATTCTCTAATGACAGTGACAAGATTTGCGGATGTCACCAATCCAGAAAACTACGCAGTAAGCAATTTCAAAATAGTGCACAATTGATTGTTTCAAATACCTTCACAGTTGTACGTCTTCTCCACTGGAAAGTAGGTATAGAAAGAGAAGGTGCTTGTAAGGTACAAGCTTTTCAACCTAAGTGAATTTATATGCCTGCTCAGATTGTAGCTGACTGAATCAGAATTGGGATTCAAGCATAATATTTTGCGAAAACTAGCCTTGGAAGATGTCATAAACCATAAAAGTGAGTTAGCTATTGTTGATCTAATTTTCTTTCTGGTTTGTAAATACAAGAATGCGTCAGAGCAACTTATTAGCACAACTGAAGGTCTTGGAGAATGTGTTAGTCAGAAGAGGTTCGCAAAATTTGCTGCTTAGTGTCCTTTTCTGGCTGGTCGACTGAAAAGCAAAAGGGACACTCTGTGATGCTGGTTGAAGCGCACCAGCATCACCCGCATCCACGTGGCAGCAAGTGTGGATCCAAAAGTCGAGCTCTACAACACTTCTATTCTCAAGTGGCTAACAGCATAATGTCCCACTAAGGAAGTCAGTTCACTGCATCTTATTAAAACTTTACGCAAAATATTAGTAATAATATAAGGTGATGCAGGAGCTACATAAACCATACATAAAATCCCCAAAAAACAGATGTGTTGGCTAGAAAACATAAAAGTTTGTGCAATTGATATACTTGGCCCAGATTTGACATTTTCTGATAAACTGCCATCATTAAACTCCTATTTAGCCTCTGAGTCGAGGAATTAGCTTTGGACTCGCAACGCAATTCTCCAATCCCTACAGTTTCGCATTATAAACGGCGGGGAACCAATTTTGTGCGTATGCATTTAAGGTTAACACTAAAGAATCCTGCTGCAATGAATTTCAGGTAGGCAAAACCACTCATTGTGCATTTTGTCAATCTGTTTATGCATCACGATCCTCGTTGAGGAGAGTTTTAGCCGTAGGTTTAAAGAAATTTGCTTAGAATACCCCAAATCTACTGTGGTTGAAATTGCGTTTCTCCCTTGCCACCTACTCGTAGCCTATCCAAGCTGAAGTTCGCATTGTCCTGCTAAGCGTGCTCAACCTGTCCTCCCTTAAGCCCTACCATGAGTATTAATGCTGTGGTTCGTCAGTACCTAATACCCAAGCTATCAACGTACTTACACAGAGCACGAAACCAGGAGAGCTCACACTTGCCTCTACCTTCCTCTCCTCGCCTAAGTTGCTTCTAATATCTCCCTTCAAAGTGGAAAATTTTGACTAAAAACCCACCCATAAGCACTCCATTCAGGTAATATAACCAATGATCATGCAAAGGACACTTTGGACAAGCATAAACTACGGTTGAACTGCTAACACCACCTAAGGACTCCCACACACCGACGAAGGGGCAATAATGTCACGCACAAAAGGTACTAACCCTGTGGTTGGATCTTAGCCGAACATTTGCTCTTCTGTAGGTAACAGCTCAGACTGAAACTTTGATCAACTTCTCAATCACACGATTGGACGACATGTTTGCGAGTACGCTCCTGTTAAACCTTGACCAGTGCAACCTCCTTTTCCTAAATTGGGATTTCATCTTCCCTCCACAGACCAATTGAATAAGGATCTCGAGGTGAGTCTTTACTGCACTGAGTGCTATGCAGAACTTCCGACGTGGGAGATAATACAGGAACACTTGCGTTCACATCACTTCGGTAGGTGTTCCTTGTCCCCTCCCCTCTTCCCACCACCACTGCCATGTGCTGTGACGGCCTCGTCTCTTTTACGAGTGTTGCACTGAAAGACTACTTCAAGCGATGGCGTCACTTCAATTCGTAAGTTTTGTGCTTGCGCGATGCCAGCCATAGCAGTTTGATTGTAAATGATGAAACCATGTTAAAATGGCGCACTTTTACTACGCGTTTTCTGCATAACTTAATGGCAGTCTTATTGTAAGCTTAATTATCCTCATTGCCAAACGATGGCAACAGTCTACGGATAATGTGGTTATGGGTTCCATTGCATAGGTATACGAAGGTAACATAATGGTGCCAACCTTAATTTCCCCCAGCCCTAGTTAGTAAAAAGCACAATATGCTTTTCAAAGTGCAGTGTAGGAAGCTGCCAAGGCTCAACATTGGTTTGGAAGCCGAAGTCCCTACCCTTCCAGCACTTTTGAGCAGATGCTTCGATAGAATAATCTGAACCTTGTGATCCAAACAAATTCAAACACAGTGTATACGGAACCAAAAAAGCAAGGAGAAAGACTGAAAAAGGCTTTACCTAGTGAAAATTAGAAGGCAAGGTTAATGAACGCAAGGGTGGGGTAACGACCAGAGGAAGAAGTGGAAGAAGAGGAGGGGAACCAGATCAGGGATTGACGAAGGTAATGAGAACGTAGCGGATACCATGGGTGGTGCGAAGACCCTCGTGGAGATGGGTCAACCGTCCCGGATGCATGAGAGCCCAGCCGGGACGCGAACGCACAACCGCGCAGTCGTAACGCACGAATCGAGCCCCACCACCCTAACACAACACGTACACGCTGAAAGAGAGTGAATCACCTCCAACCCAGCCTGAAGCTGGCCTCCTACCCTTCTTGCTAACAATAAACTAGCATTTCCAAAGTGGAATAGCTAAATAAATAATATGCTAGTGAATAGTATACAAGACTTGCTGTAAATGTGCTACTCTGCTCCTTTTGTAGGCATAATTAATGGCCGGTAGTTCACATTTTAAGAAAACTTTTTGTCCAAAATATTTTTGTATTTTGAATCGAATATTTAGCTAGGATTAAGAAGGGAAATTGTCCCGATAGGTACTTGTTTTTTTGGGAGAGCTCACAAAACTAGAATATGTGAAAGTTTTTGATATTTGAACAGACCTTAAGTTAAACAAGTGGACTAGACCATTAATACAAGTCAACTATACAAAATGTGTTTCAGTAGAAGGTTCTATCAACTCCTTCAGGGTGCATCATTAGTCTTAGTCGCAAACAGTTTGCACCGATAGGCGTGGCAAAACTATTGCAGCGGAACACATATGCAAATGAATTAAAAGTCAAAAAGAGGAATAATAAAAGCGTTTCCTTACCTGATAGTCGAAGCCTGGTCGGTTAAGGGCGATGTTGAGGGTGTAGGTCGAGGCGTCGTGATGGGGACGCAAGCTGTGCTGCTCATCGGGCTTGTAACGAACCACGAAGTTCATTCGGGCAGTCGGCTAGGGGCACACGTATCCCCCAAAGAGTGAAATCAGTAGTGAAACAGTCAAACATACACTAAACCAATGGGTGAAAAATTGCAATTCATCACACAAAATTGAATAAGACAACCAACAAGACTAATACTCCACTATTGGTAAGTCAGTCAAGTGATTGAGGAAACGTTCAGAAATGTACCAAAAAATATTCAGTTTCTGCCTAAGAGAGAAAGAGAGCAAATCTCCATCATGTTTGGTACATTGGAATTTCCTTGACATAAAAGGCAAAAAGAATGACGCCAATGTAATATCATACCAAGTCTTCGTAGCCCTCAAAGACAACTCGTTGGATGGGACGCACGTAGGTGGCAAGGACGTGCAACCAATGAGCCTCCCAGTCGATCTGACGCATGTGTGTGTCGATGGTAGGCACATTCTCGTAGCCGCCCTCCAGTCGCGGATCAATGTTGCTGCCCGTTGACCACAGACCAGCAACCTCCAACTCCTCTATCATGTCCTTGCAGAACCGCTCTGAGAGGAGGGGAAACCAGAACACATCTGGGCAGGGCTGTTCAAATCCATCAAATGAACGATTTACGTACTTGTGGTAATCCAGATGGAGATATTTCTTCTCCCACTCCTAAAATCAAAGTATAGGGTTCAACTTGATTCATGATGCAAAAAGATGTGTAGAAATTATAATTATGTGTCAGGAAGTAATAGGCAAAGCGAAATCGAGCTCGTTGTCCAATATCTGTGAGAAGGGAAGTCTTTCTGTAAGGCTTTGTGAGAGCTTAACCTGCTTTGTAAAAGTTGTCGTCATCCAGGCCACTATGAGTTGAATGAAAATTGCAAACTCCACCTTGAATTGCTGAATTCACCACCTATGCAACTAATGGCGAGCATATCACATATTGGTAGTGCTGACTTTTAGCAAAGGATCGACCACATCCACTATTACGGTGTAGAGCATCGTCGAGTAATATTTTCTTCGGGAAAATTTAAAAGAAAAGTTGGTTCCTCTGACAAGTTTCTAATTCCGAGTCGAAGCTAGTTGCATTTCACCAAATCACGTAGTGCCTGTATGAAAGCAGCCGCCGTGACCTGGTTTCGCCCACATTCACCTACACGCACTGACACTGGGAGCCAACAACGTGGCAGCCACGTATGTGGATGACCAAACTCGCAAACCGGTTTTTTTCAACTCTTTTCAGGTGATGCATCTGTGGGCCCAAATACACATCTTTGGGTGATGGGGTTACAACCACATTTTAGTGCGATTCGGTAAACATGATGCTCGGTATTCCCCCTGATACTCTTTGTCATATAGCAAGTTAGCCTGGGGTGTAGGAAATCGTAGAACATCTGTTAGGTTATAAAGATACGGCAATAAGTGAAAAGAAGTGTAGCATTTGTGGATGTCATAATGGAATTGCTTACCACATTAAAAAGCAACGTAAATGATAGTACTATTCCAGATATTCTAATTTAAATAAATGAATTTTGTGGTTTTCGAGTAAAGAAATTTTCGAATTATTTCAAAGTCCAACAGCCTATCCATGTGCACCACAATATTCCTTTGACAGCACAATCAAGATCACCCAAACATTTAAATTTTTTTTGTCTTTACAACTGGCATTAAGACCGTGGTTTCAGTAAAAAGAAGGACTTAGCTGTACCACAGGATTATCAAATATTTGCCACATATCGTTGTGTAGATGGTTCAGTCCATAAGTGTCCGGGTTGATTAGGTGACCGAAGTACTCTTGATTATCCACAAATAGGAAGATGTTCTACCAAATGACAAAAAACAATGATCGATTCAATGCACCCAAAAATTACTTTTCATCTTCAAAATATGCACCTTTTCACGGATGAGTCTTGATAGGGTCATGTCTGGGAAGGAATCTTCTTGTGGTAAGCGGTTCATCAGTTGACGTGCTGTCCATCTCGAGAACATGTAACAGCTGCTCACAAAAGGCACGTTCCATATGCCCCTGAGAGTAAGTAAAAGAAACAACACTGAGAAATCTATAATACAAAATAAATCCAGAGGTGTAAATGTTGCAAGAACTAGAGTGACAGCGAAAAGATGGTTGGACTTGCTTCTGTTTGCGGTTAATTATATCGACGTAGTCGAAGGAGCGCGCGTAGTAGCCGTCATGGTTGAGAGCACCCCAGAAGTTAGACCAGAGCTTGCCGATTCGCGTGAGAAGTGGAGCCATAACGTTGCGATTCATGCGCACCAAATGATTCAGAGTGTCTGGATTCGTGAGTCGTGCCATCGAGTCAATGGTAAGAACGAAAGCGCAATCTTCATGACCAAGGCAAAGGGACCTGCATTTTGAACATTTAGAGACAATAGTCTTCGAAATAATAACATGTTGAGACTACCAGCCCTATTTTAGGAGAGGAGACGATAGAAAATAATCAAGCTTGTAACAAGCTCACAAAACAAGGCGACTTCCAGCTATATGAACAAGTTTGCTTTGCTTCTCAGCTACGCCGACTTCAAGCTCATTTATGTCGGCCTTTGCTCCATTCAACGAGGCAAAGGACTCAGCATGAATTAACATCTACACATTGAACTCTCCCATTGATAGTTATTAGAAGATGCAGCTCATTTGAAAGCTCTGAAGCAGAGCTTTTAAGGTACTATATTTAAGAAAAGAAACGAAAAAAAAAATACCAGGCGTGATTCTTTGCAGACACATCCGTTGTGTAGGTACCCTCGGAAATAACAATGGCGGATTTATACTCGTAGCCCCTGGTTATATTGAACTCTAGGAGAGCTGCATAGTGTTCTTCCACCTGTAATAAAAGGGACACACTTCAAATGGTGATGATCCTCCCTTTAAAATGGATTAGCTTTTGACTCACATTACAGTAAAGGGTTAGGTGAATTCTCTTCTTCGGATAATTCAGTTGATCAAGATCCTTAAAGAAGTCCTCAATGAAGGGAGTGGGAGACGTGATGAAGGCGGAAATCTGAACAACAGGATAGGCATTTGGCTGGAAAGAAACAAAGCCGACACTCGCGTTATATGCGATCGTAGTAATTGGGAAAACACATGGATGGAAACTTGCTGAGAGTTCGTCCAAACGAATATTGTCCTCTCGACAGTAGAGACAGCCTTTTGAAGGAGTCCAGGTTCGTGCAAGGTAATTCGTCAGGGAATTGAATTTTACCTATTTTTTATTGAAAATCGGACTTAATTATCGCCTTGTATCTACAGTGATGCTGGAGCAGTATCAAATTGCACTTATCCTATTGCTTGAGCTTAGAGTTCCGTTGTGTTGGTGAATAAAACCCAAGGCCATTCGTGGTTATCTTCAATGTTCTTTACGATTTGCTCAAACAAAAATATCTATCCTAAGGTTAAGTGTAGGTTATCAACACTCATTCAGCATGGGAAACCTAGCAATGATCCTTGACAGAACAGCGTGAAAATAGATTTACTTAAAGTCGGAATCAGCGATACCTCTTAGGCTTCATCAAAGAAGCTACTTCTGCAATCTAGTCACTTTCAACCACTAGAAGGCTTGAACATCAAGAACAAGCTACCAGAAAATGGGTCCAGAGGTACTCCATATGGGCTTAAAAGGAGTTCACATTTTTGCTTTTGCCCTACCGTTATGTAAGCACGTGCAATCGTCCATTTATACACTCGTATCTAGCATTTGATTACCAAATGGATGTGCTGGAATTGTTGTAGATTTAACGCCTTATTGTGTCCATAAGATTGCCTTATAAGTTGAACTAAAAGCACATTCTGGTATCCGGCGTCAGAAAAACAAACCGACCACGATTCCCTCCACTATGACCAAAACCTTAAAAGGTGTTCGCAACAGTGAAGTGCTTTAAACAAAAATGAATCTTTTCTTACTTTGATCGGTCCGTTTCCATGTGCAACAATGGGTCGGGTATTGGTCCGAGTATTCACCAAGTAACCCGTATCCTCGTTGTAGTCTATCCTAATGTCTCCTGAATTAATACATTAAAGAGCGTAAGGACAGCACTCAATCGCAAAGACTAGCCATGCACCACAATCTGCATTCGCCTGCGCTATGCTTCAAACCCACCCCTGAGCCAGAGACTTTTGTGCTAGAGGTTTATATTAAAAGTAATCGCTAATTAAACTTGAGTCTCGATTATGCAGCGAAACCTCCCAACGGTGCCAGATATGCATAAAGACGTTTCCATGGATGCTTAAAAGATGATCATGCATGTAACGATCAGCATGCGGTCAGGATGGACGAATTTACCCAAGGCCCCATTGAGATTTTGGAAAAGTTCAGACCGCGTATCCAAGGCGATATCGAACTCTTGCTAGCAAATAGAAAACTAGGACAGTCTTATCCACTCCTATGTAAACTAATGAATTTGTGGAAATAAGGGTCTCTTTTAAAGCTAAAAGGACTAAAGAAGCTATGAATAAAGTGTAATTTGGCCGTTTTACCTAGGACCACTCCATAAGTTATCTAATACTTGGTTAGGATAAAGTTATTTTGCTAAATGGCATTCATAGTAATTAAATTGAACATAAGTTAACAAAATGCAGCACTTTAGACATGAAGCATCTAACAGTTGAGAAACCGTAAGATGCGTGCAATTAGCTTTCAGCTAAGTTGATAATCAAGCGGAGAAATCAGATTTTTCCAGTCATAACCACCCGTGTATACGCTTTTGGCGAAGCCAGTGAGGCAGTATATGATAGAACAGATTTCATCTGCATTACAGAGGCGATTCGGTAAACATACCAGTTTCAACGAGTCAATAAGGTTATGCACTTACATATTTATTCAACGGATAGCATTGGACAAGATTGAGATATATGATCCTACTTTTCGGTAATCAAGTACTTAAGTCTGATGAAGTCATAAAACGACAAGGAGTAATTGTTTAAACTTACGCGGAGACTTGGATTGAGAAAAATTTTGGTATAAAAGAGCTGGTCATCATCCTCGTTTTCAATTGGACTGTGACTGATTATACGAAAAATATCAGCAACAGGTCCAACGAATGACCCGGAATTCAAAAATCGACTTTCATTTTCATCAACGACGGGATACTTCGACTTCAAAAGTGGAGGAAACTTGGCAGTTAACACACAGATGCAATAATAACGCAATTCCAACAACGCTGACTACCGTTAGAGAAGGCTGTGGCCAGCAAAATTTCTCGGCAGAAAAAATAACCCGGTGCTGCAAGGCGTCATATTTGTCAAGAAATGTATCCACTGAATCCATGAACACAACATCATAACTAAAAAAACAAGTGATAAAAAGCAATAATAAGAGCATTAACGCTAAAATATTGGCTTTGAAAGTAAACATAAGTATTTCAAGGCATCATCTTGTGTATAAAGCTATGACAGTCAGTTTGTGACCGTTATGACACTTGAAACAACATCTAACGCCCAAAATCACATCGAATAGCTTTATAAAAAGTTAATTTGGGAATCATGGAATGCGAAAAAAACCCACACAATTCGCAGCTCGCTCATCGATTTTCTACGAAAGGCATAAGCGATTCAAGGAATTCTTCGAACCGCGTATATGAACAATCTGTTCCTAGTAAATATAGTTTTGAAGAGAGTATTTACAGTTTCGACAAAAATATCATAAATAAAATTTAAAATTAAAGGCAGCAAACGGCATTGATACATGTCATGGGTTAAATGCCCGATTACGGTGACAACAATTAATCTGGAGCTGATAAAGCCATAAAACATTTCTATCTAATTAGACCAAAAATGATGCCACAGGCTAGTCTTGGTCTGAATGATTTATCGATAATGCTGGATGATACCCACAATGATTTTATAATAAAAGGTTTAAGCATGTGTACGAAACAGTATTTACGAGCGAAATCAAATGTTGTCTTTCGGGGACAGAAGAGTCGCACTAGTAATTAATAAAAACGCAAACGGAAAAATTAATGAAGATTACAGTTTGTGTCCGAAAAGCACAAACCTATCCACAAAGAGAACCAAGTTTTCATTGTCCTCAGAAAATGGTCCAAGAGCGTCTCTCAAAAATCGAACTTTCTGCCCTCCACCGGGATAATTCGCAACATCTCCACCAAGCCACGTTTCACCGGAGCCAAGAACCTTTTGCATTTACGTAAAATTACAATCAATTACCCTAACGGCAAAGCCAAAGATTTCAGCGGACCTTTTAAACCTTTGCAGGGCGTCGTTATCATCAGTGGCAACAGTGTACACAAAAAGATCTGAAAAGAGTATACAATCATAAATGCGACTACCCCGTGCCATAGATTGGACAAAAATAGTGAGCAACACCCACAGACCACCCAGCACCATCGTAAGAGACATTTCAAATAGCGGCACGAATTCTGGCCACTTGATTTAAAAAAGTCAAGAGATTAAACAAGACATTTTAAGTGTGCATTGTGTATTTACTTAAAGCAAAAAACACTTTAAAAGGGCTTTAACGTAATAAAATAATAGCTGTTAGAACTATTGGGGAGGTGTGGCGTGCTCGAGGAAGTTAAAATCCTGCCATGACTCAGCGGCTAACTCATTCGGTAAAGCGTAACGACCGACCCAGAAGTCGTATCCGAAGCCAAACTCAAAGCAAACTTCTATCCGTCCATATTTATTTAGCAGCTAAAGATAACACACACAAATTGTACAAACTATAGATTTAACATTTTGCTTATGTAGCCCTTTAGCGTTTGGCAGTGGCTTTGATTTTTATCTTATCCTTGTATGCGTGGGCTGACCTTTGGGTCAAGCTTAGACATAGTCTCCTTATTCATCACAGAATATGTATTCAGCTCTACTTACTGCATTTTTCCTTCCCGCGGGAAGTTTTAAGACGCTACATCCACGAGTATGCCTCTCCAGTCAACGGCTATGATACGAATTGGGAATGATACTTAATTTCCTTAACAGCTCCAATTTGATCTGGGCTACATCTATTGATGATCAATTACTTTTAGGTCTGGACGGTGGAACTCGGGTCTAAGACAGATACATTACAGGAGAAACGAGATCAGACCCAGTTCCGTATACTAAGGAGTACCGTGGTGATGGTGATTATCTGACACTAAATTTTTCCAGGTGATTAACGTCGGTATCGCTTTATCTGTTGGTAGCTTGTCTGTTATGCACGGAGGCAAGGTGGATCAAAACACAGGCATCATTCTAAACCCTTCTATGGTGAGCAAAAGAGACGATCTTCTTCCGATGTAAATATGCTTTTCCTCTACATTAGATACACGTCACAAACGGTGAATACAAGGATGGAAGTCGTAAAAATGTGGGTTCGTTTTCCTTGCCAATAATGTAGCACTCCAAGTCTTCCTGCCAGGTAAAAGAAGGTTTCATATTCAGAAAAACACGTGCATTCAAAAAGAAGAAGGATGGTTAGGATCTCCGCATATCTTGAAGGCCAGCCCACGTGTACAAGTGCAAAACGAATACAAAGTAACTGTCAAGTATCAGGCGGTAACATCGGAAAATAATATAGACGGTTTACTTTTCCTACTAACTATGTCAAATCTTTGGCACACCTTCAAGAGTCGTGCAAACTTCCTAATAGTGAAAGATCTCAGAAAGCTCTATAAAGAAGATGCTTAATCTGACAACGTCGGCCAAAACATTGTCCTCACCATAAACTCAAAGCTAATAAAGATGTCTAGAATCACTGACTTCTCTTATTAAGTGTAATAGCGAAAGAACAATACTCGTTTGTTGTAATACTATGTTTATACGCCCGCCTGAATTCTGGCGGTTACTTAAGTGCTCATATGGCCTTTGTTTGCGCGGGCTGGTCTTTGATCCAAGCTCAGACACGTTTTTTTGTTATTTTTGGAAACCACTTATTCACCTTTACTTTATGCTCTCTTCCGCCAGATAGAAGGTGTCGGAAGCTATATCTGTAACTGTAACAGTAAACTTTCCGATGGCGCACTGCTGAATACTGTAATATTAGCGCGGGCTTTTTCTGCCGTATGTACTTGCCATTAGCAGGACTCAGCAGTGGTTTATAACCATTGTTTGCAACGTAATATGCATTTTGTTTATTCTTTTGTCGGCTTTGGGATTGGAAGTGTTGGGGATTCGTAACCATTCCTAGTCGTCTTATAAATCCAGTGTTTTGGGTCTCGAATGTCAGTAAGCACATTAATAGTCTCAGCCGTGATGGTATCTCGGAGTGCCACAGCGCATACATGTGAATCAATTAAATGCCTCAAGCTTTTGCTAATTTTGGAGCTAACTGTATTAGCTAATCTTAGTATTGATTTTCAAGCCATAAGACACTAAAAACAAAGGAGCAGAATCTCGGCTTATTGCCTCTTTACAGACCTGACTAATATCGACTACTTCACTTTTTGTTTCAACGCACCACAGACGCAACAGAACTTTCACGCTCTAATTTATATATAAACTCGCGTTTGGTGGGTGCGCGTCTTTGCCGGTGCTGGTTTGTGGTCGTGAACAGCCGAGTCATGGACTCTTTGCCTATGTTTTACATCTTTTATGCGGGTACTTAAATTGATTATCTGATTCAATTGTATTTGCTGCTAACAGGGCACGTTTGTTCCGTGTTGTTTGATCTGCCAATGCTGCTTGTATGATTAATAATAGACGAATACACTTTAACTAATTGATTGATATTGTTTCGCTAGTTCTTTTTTTTCGATTGGCGTTCTGTGGTTGTGTGTCACTTTTTGCGATTTTGCCCTCGACGTTCTTCAAGTACGAAGGAAAAATTTGATGCTTTAGTTTATGTCGCTAATCCATTTTAACTTTTTGGTAACAACTTTCGTTTTTATTCTAGATGGTCTTCTAGTACAGCGAGTTGATTGAGTTCTGGCTAAGAAATGTAGTTTCAGCGTTATGTCAGATCACAAACAAGATATTGAGCTTGGCCTTTCTGACCATTCCGGGAAGGTATGTTCTGAATTTTCTCAACTAATCCACTTTAAGTATTATCTTCCGGTATCGTGCTGCTCTTCTCTACAACTTTGGTGGTACTATAAGTTTGCTGCATTGGAGAAGCTCCTTCACACTCACCATTGGAAGGTCTTCAGCCTGTTATTACCCCTCATGCTCCTATGTCTGGGACTCAAGTTCGCTAAACCGGAAACGGACTTTTACCGTCTTTGGGTCGCAGGTAGGTAAACTCTTTAGTCTTGACCTTGGGGCCCACATATTTTTGCATCCCGTCCATTTCCGAACCGTGTGTTGGTGGACTTGTATACATATTTTTTTTACCCAAGTACTTGGTAGCTCAAAGTGTGCTTTCAATGAGCAAGATTAAAGCGATCAGTGACGTGTTTTGGATGTTGTGTATCATTCCTTGAGCCCATTTAGAATTCTCTTCGAACATTTTGAATAACTTCATTATCGTTAATCTGCAGTCTAATAACGGTCTTGGCAAATAGAAGGGGGTGGTTTCTTGTGCTAGCTCTAAATTTATTTAGTTAGGCCGGCTTTATGGGTGTTATTTTCCATCTTCACACCAAGTGAAGGTCTAGTGGAGCACTTCTGCGGAGTTAGTATTCGGGTCATTTTAGTAATGTACACTTTTTGACATCTCTTAATGTAGAAAGTAGTCGGCTATCGGCAGAGTTGAATTACCTAGCCAAGGCACTTCGCGCAGCTGATATGCAGCACCAAATACCGCCTTACACTGGGACTGTTTACCACCAGCCACCCTCCTGGGGTGATCCATACCTCCGATCACCCGATTTGATCCCCGTCGCACCGCACACCTCTTCGCTCGGGGGTCTGCCGGGTAGCGAGTTCATGGGGTCCATAGAATCCATTCTACAGACCTCATCTTCTGCCGGAAACCTCCTTACGCTGGAGGCACTGCGTGATCACATGGAACTTCTTGTGAAGATCCACAAGCTTGAGGTCAAGGTGGGCACGTCAAAGTGGCGGTTGGAGGATCTTTGTCAGCGTGCTGAGCTCCCCAGTTCCGTGGGATTGCACAGCGTTGAGTCTCTTCTCGCTCAACTCATCCCTTGTGTCGTCATCACTCCTGCCGATTGCTTCTGGGAGGGCTCTAAAGTCATCGCGCCGGACACTGTGGTTCAGATACCATGGTAAGCATTCCTTTTCAAGGGTATCTAAAATTGGTCGTTCTTCGTGTGTACTGTCGTTTGTAGCCCTTTTTTCTGTCCCTGCATTTCTGGATACTTTTACTTATTTTTCACTCCTATAACTTCCATTTGGTTCAGGTTAAGTAGTCAACATCATTCATTTCCCATCCCTTGCTTATCATCGTACATATACCTTTACTTCTATCGGCGAACTGCGAGGCCACCATATCTTCCACATTTGCACTACTGTTGGGCTTTCAAATAGGTTTTTACGTCCAGCGACAATTTTGCATTCTTCCAAGGCTGGAATGAGCCTCTCATCTATAAGTGCTAGGATATTGAGTACTCTGTTGAGACGTTTAATAATTGCTTTTTTTATCAGACCTCCCTAGTCCAACCATCTAAATTATGGTGCGTATTTGCTTGCTTGTACGAGACAGTTTACGAGCATTAAATTTGCCCTCAAATAGTCTAGCTGATAAGCCAATGCACCTCACCTGGGGCCAAGAATGGTGCGTTTTTTATGATTCGACATAAAATTGGCTAATTGGGTTACCAGGACCGAAATTTTATTGCACCCCTTCTATTCTAATTAACTTGAGTCAGGCGGGAGACGCCTTTTCTCCACACATGCCATGGCTACTTTTCAAGTTAGGTTATTGCCACTTACATGAAAGAAATGGCTCGCAGTTGCTTTCTTTTGAGTTTGTCGGGTATCCTCACCGGCTCACTGCTTTGAAACCACTTATTCAGTCCATTAGGCATGAATATTATTGCTATACGCTTATTGCGTGTTTGTGTGCGCGTTTCCAGTGGCAACTAGAACGCGGCTGTTGTGGCATCTCAAAAAATGGCCAAGCTTGCGTGCGTAATCACAGCGTTGTGTACGTGTGTACGTAGACGGTTGCTCTGACCCTTCGATTCATGGGTCATGGTCCGCCGGTCAAGGTAGGGAGGAGAGGCCATTTGTCCAATTCACGAGTCAATGAATATCAAACGTTAGCACTGTAGGTGGTATTTGCGTGTGCGTGCGGCCGTAACAGCCGGAGTAACTCGCACACGCATAACAACGGTTCATTTTGTGCGTGTGTGTGCATCTTTGTGTGCACAAATGCGTGGGCACACACGTCCGCACGATACCTACCACGCGACCCCTGCTACCGCTACATCACACTGCTACCACCCCATTGTGTGCCACATTTACAGAGGTAGCAGTGGCAGCAGCAGTAGTGGCTAATGTAGAGGCAGCATATCCATCCAGTCTGCACGCGCACAGATGCGTGCAGGCGAACGTGCCTGCACGCACCCATGCAAAACATGCATGGCGTATTTTCTGCCACCGTGGGGCCTATTGATTCTGGCTCTCTGCCTAACCTGTCCGCCATTCCTGTCTGGTACACCGCCGGCGGAGTTACCCACATTCCGTTTGAGCGGGCCTCCCACTTGTTCTCTAGGAATGATTACAGAAACTTGAACATACTAGTGATAATTTCACTCTCCGTTGTTTTCCTTTTCGCATAGTAAGTAGCCTTTTGATTTTCCTTGCTGTAGGGATGCGTTTGGATGTATGGCTCTGGACTTTAGTCCTCTGAGTATAAATGCGGTCTTCTACATTCTGGGAATGATAATTCCATTTCGTCTTATCCGTTTTCAATAGGATCCTATTGAAAGTCACTGGATGTCTGCTGACGATGTTGGAAGGGGAGTTGGTTCTCGGTTTATTGTCTCTTGATTTCCTGCTCAACGTACACTCACTTGGTGCCATTCGCAAATGGTACTCGAAATCATTCATTTTAAGTGGTGCTTCTAAGTATTGTTTATTCTTACCATCGCGTAACTTCAATTCAAGGGGTGCCTTTGATGATCTTTTTTCATATTAATCTCTCACTCATCCTGGTCTGTTAATATACCTCGCCCCACTTTTCAAGCAAGTGCAGTCGAAAACTGTCTTTTAGGTTCCTCTAATGATGCTCAGGTTTCAAATGTCAATCACAAAATTTTTTGTGTGAACGTTACGATGGCTTGTAACTTTTTGTCTTAAACAGCACTGTGATCTGGGAATTTAGCTCTCGTTGCGAATGTATAATATTGCTACGTTATGCACTAGTTCCACCCATAGTGGATTTAGTAATGACTAAAGCGAATAGTTGGGTGTCAGGCTAACAGGGCTAATGGATTTTTAAGGGCTGATCGGCATCCTCATGCTTTCTGAGTAATGTAGAGGCTATTAGTGCTGCACATCGCCCATTTCGCCATGGTTATATTTCATTATTTACCAAATCATACATTGCCCTGCTCAAACAGGCTCGTTACTTCCGATAAAGAACTTCCCTACGGAAACGCTTAAGATCGGTTCGCATTGTCTGTGCAAGTTATTCAATAATGTAGTACTCCAATCCTAGACTCAAAATCTTAAATTGCATTGTTTAAACGAGTAGTACCTTTCATCTTCATTCTTTCATCCATCCCTCGTTTTAGCCTCATAGCCCCCTGTAGGTACTCACGTAATTTGATCTTTCTGTTTGGTCTTACTACCGACAATCTTTCGTTGATATCCAATCCTTTTCGAGCTTGAGTATTTATGGAGCATAAAATGCGCTTTTTCTGGTATCTCCTTCAGCATCTCAGTTTTCTGTCTTGCAGCAAACTTCATATTGGGTCCCCCTTTCAGATGTAATCCTCCCTATTGCGGTGTGGCATGAAAGAAGTGAGTGGTACAAGGAAAGGGGTGGGAGGGGAGAATGAAAAATTAGTCAAGCAAGCGACATCCGTAGCGTACCGGCGTCTGTGTGTGTTTTCTTCCCAAGCGAGCCATCATCGGATTTTGCTGAAAAATGGAATTCTGTGTACGTACGTGGTGTGGCAAACATGATTGCATAAATTGATCGGGTCCACCCGGTGTTAATGTCGTGACATTTTAGCATCCTAACTGCTTTTACTGCCGTTACTTCTGCGACTACCACCCTTAACCTCACTTCTCCTCTCAACTTGCTTATGTGTGTAATGCATGTTTCGCAATAGCTGTAGACAGATCATTTCCAAAGTTGACCGCAGACGGTGACTTGTTTTTTCATTCCATCTTCTCTTATCCGGCTCACTTCATCTCTGTAATCATTCTAAAACTATTTAACATTTCCTATGATACTTTCCACTAAGTCTTCTGGTTTTTCAACTTTGTAATCCATAGTCGTACTGTTTGTACGCTTCCGTATATTACGTGCACTCGACCTTTAGCAGCTGTTTTGAAGTCATTAAATATTGTGTGTTCTCAAGGCCCAACAAACAATACACACTGCAGTGGTCGAGTCTCGACCCGCAGCACATTCTTTCAAATCTTCGAAGCGAATACGGCAATCACTCCTCGGAGTTGAGCTACCTCGACGAGGTGATGGACATGCTGAATCGTGCGGGTTTGAGTCGCGGCTATCTCACTCGACCCTGTCTGGATCCCCACGATCCTGGCTGTCCCATTCTCGCTCCCAACTACAAAGCTCAGGTAAATCCTCCTTAATACTACCATTGCTTCAGATTCAGCACTCTGGTTCAACTCAGCGTAGCGGGCAGACGTAAACGATGAATGTTAGTAGGTATGCACACTCCTGCAATTAATATTTACCCCCTTTTTTAGCCGCCGGACGTTGCTCGTGTCGTTGCCGATGGCTGTCCTAGTTTTGCCGCGAACATTCTTCACTGGCCTAGAGACCTCCTTCTCGGTGGACAACAATGTTCCATGGGGAATCACTCCACGGCGGCTTGTGGAAGTTCCAACCATAACTTGGTGCATGCCTCGGCTTTGCAGTCTCTGCTTCTGTTGCGTTCACCACAAGACCTTTATCGCACTGTTCGCTTCAACGATCCCTATAAGCACGAATCGTGGACACTGCTAGACGCACAAAATACGCTGGATCAGTGGCGTAATGGGCTGAAGCATCTCCTCCTTGTCCATAATAAAGCCATCTCGCGCAGTCGAAACTGGCAGTACTACGGCTTCACCGACAATTCTCTTCGTGGTCTCCTCACTCAGAGCACTGTTAGTGTGTGGTTCGCACAACTCGCTGGCGCCGTTGTACTTGTGGTGAGGCCTTGTCTGCGTTCCATTGATTTTACGCACACCACTCATTCCCACTATCGATCAGCTGACCGTAGTAGACACCGACTTGCACTCTGCATAGAGCGCCAGGGTCAGAGTACCGATCTTATCTCTGTAATAATGACACTTTTAAGGGTGCTCAATTTCTGGTCGAATTACGGTGCTTTGCGCGCATTGAAATGAGAGTTGCACTTCATTTGAGGTGCATTTGTATTGCAGTCATTAGTTTTATCTATGTCGTAAGACAAGCCACACCTCTCCAATTATCCCACTCCTGCATATGCGTCTTTTCTGTTGGGATCAACCAGTAGAGCGACTGCATGTCCACATTTGTCTAAAATGGTTCGTATATGCACACACAGGTGCACACTGAGTCAGACTATAACGGGCGTTTTCGTTTAGGAAACGAGTCATTTCGGTCGATCCGCCTCAGTGCGGTTTTGGTGAAGTCACGTCACTGCAAGGCGCAGCTCATAACCCTGTGGTGGCTTGGCTAGGGCCATGGAGTGTTATTTTTAGTATTGCAACATTTGTCAGTGAGCATAAAGTCCAGGCGTTGCGCTGTAACCTCGTGATTTCGTTTTCATCCCTAGTGGCACGCGAGTAGGTGTGAGACCTCGTGGGTGATCATGTAATTGCGCCCACTTCTTAATGTTCATTTGTACCTGCATCATTTCGTGCGGGGGACGAGGTTCTTATTCCTTGCAATGAGCATCAGCAGCACACCAGTTTGTGGAGTGGGTGACTGGAGCCCACACACATACGAACGTCATTTTCTCACGTCGAGTTGTGCGCCTGTGTTCCTGTGTTACCTACCGCAGATAAACCCGCCGCAAGCATGCACGCGCTGTGTACCACGAGGCACCTCAGCTTGCCAGAGTGACGTCAAGGCTTGTGATGCCAATCCTAACTTTGCACCCTTATGCCATTTTCAAGACTCTGTGTCCGCACATCAAATTTCTTTATTTCACTAACAATAAATGAACTGGAATTTCTATCTAAGTCGTTTTAGCATTTAGTGTTTTATTTGTCGATTGCTTTAGTCCGTTGCAATGTCTAATTTTGCTTTCTCAAAGATGACGTAGCCAAGATTCAACGCCTTACCTCGAGTGCATTCATGGGTTGTGGGATGATTGTTTATCTTCCATCATACTATAAAACCACAGAATCTTTCCTAGTTCTGTCTTTCGTAAATAATTTAGCAACTTCATCTGTTCTACCACTTTTTTTAATAGCTTACCATAGACATATTTGTCTCCTGTGGTCTTGACTTCCCCATTCACAATTATGCATTTGCCCATTGCTCAATTTGGTTCTGGTATTAAATCAATCGAAGGAATAGGCGAACTGATTTGTACCTTCGTGCACCTCATTTGGGGCATGCAAACATACACCAGGACAAGATCCATACACGCTTTATGCTTGTCCGCTTTTCAAGATAGGCTCAAACCAAGACAAGTGATTGACACCTTTCGGCAGTATGCCTCTTCGTTACAGCTGACTCACTTCATTTCGTCATAGGTCCATTGCCAATGCCTAGTTCATTTATGGACGTTATTTTAATTCACTGCAACCATCAAAACAGATGAGAAACCATTGCGCATAACAATTGAACAATAATTTTAGCTCCTCTACGGCATGGTATGCTTATTGTGCTGGCGCGAGCCTTCGAGGTCCCAATGTTGGCTGGCTTTGGCTGGTTTGGGTCTCATTGTCCTCGCTCTTGTGGCTGGGCTTGGCATCTGCTCTCTCATTGGTCTCCCCTTCAACGTTCTATCCATCCAGGTAGGCTTTCTATTATTTGAAACGCGTTACTTGCTCTACGTAGAATATGTTAGTAATTCAGCTTCCATGATTAAAGACACCGGCTCTAGTTTATGTATTTATGTTATTCTGGTATTGTAGTGGCAAGTGAGGATCAGAAAGTTCACTTATCCCCTCTACTAAACTCATTGTTTCATACCTTTTTTAACACTTGTTTCGCAGGTTCTACCCTTCCTTATCCTCGGTTTCGGTATGGAGGGGCTGTTCGTATTTACCACCTGCAACACATGTGTGCTGTCGCGCTCGGCAGAGGTCACCCAGAAAGTATGCTTATTTTCTTTGCTTTGGTTTTGTCAGTCACATGTCTCCATGTCTATAGCTTTCTCAAGATGCCAAATTTCGTCCTAGAGCATGGAATTTTACATATTATTGGTGGCAGCTGGGTGGCAAGATTTTTATTGCTCAATTTTCTCACCTGCAACTGATAGATCTGTTTTAGGTCTGGAAAGTGATTTCAATAAAAAACTTGGTATTGATAGACTGTAGCAGCATTCCGAGTTTTGCGCTAGCAGTGCCGCGTGGAGCGCATCCTTTTTTCGCTCTCCTGTGACACACAACGCCTTTTACACATTTGTATGTAAAATTGGCTTCGCTAGTTCCCAGACCCCTGAATTTTTGCTCGCTAACCTCGTCTCTCTTCTGTTGCATTGGTGCCACAAATTTGCGCTTCTGATGGGAGCAGAAATGGGTCAAAATTTTGCTTCCTTGTTTACCATACAGCTTCAAGCCGAGTCCCGTTTGCTATGGTACAGGTTGACCATCCGGTATGTGATGTCTCAGACGGTCGTATAAGTGCATTTGTCTGGGGGTCTATACACTCGTCGTAACCGCTCGGATCCTACCAATCATCTGTAATCCTCTTAGAATAGGTCATGTTCATTTTTTTCCTCTCGAAGATTGGGAATTGTGGATAGGAATTGTGCACTGGTGCTGCTCGGAGTAGCTTTGGCTTATGACATTGCCAAACTATTAAGGGTCGCAACCATGTGGCTATGGCCGGATGTCTAAGCTTCATCGATGCGATACACACTCCTTGTGGGCACATTGGCAGCAGCACGTACGCAGGTGTACCTACACATGTACGCTCCTACCTCCTCCATCCTTTCCCACCCCTACCTCAGATACTCTGCCTCGCTTTCTTCTTCTTGTTTCTCAACCAGGCTGTACTGTGGACCACCCACGTGCTTGCCGAGCACGGAACTGCCTTCGTCTTTTCCGTCTTTACGATGGCTGCTGCATTCTTTGCTGCCATCTACCTTCCCGTGCCTGTGATGCGTCAGTTCTGCCTCCAGGTAGTCCTCTCTCTGCTCTGTAGTCTTAACTCTTCGCATGAAAGTTGTTGTTATGGTTCTCTGGATCCATTTGATTCACCTTAAAAACATGGCACAGATAATTGTTGTGATTGAGCTTTTGACGGTACCATTTACTTTAGTGCTCGGCAAATTTGTCAACAGTTGATACTTTGCAGCAGTGGTGGCGAAAGTATTAATGCGTGTCGAAATGACTATAATTGCCGGTTATATCCAGACATGAGAACGGGATTTTGGATTTTTAGTTGTATCAAATGTAAAATTTGGCTCTGACGACACAACGGATTGTCAACATACTGGTTAATATTCTCTTCGTAGTTGTTATTTTCAATGCTTACAAATCTAATGAAGATCGTTTATCTCACCTCGGCATCAGAGGGCAAACCAGTCGCAACGATTATATTACGAGTGGCCGCCGTATGCCTCACCCAAGTGCATGCCTGAGCGCTTGAGTGGATAGGTGCAGACTAACACCCGATCTTGCACCGATATGACGCTTATTATCGCAACACCCATCTGCGTGTTGCGCAACCCGTAGAAGGAATGCAGCGGTGCGTGTGTGCGTCTCTTCGCTGTAGGTGGTCATTTTTTCGAAGGGCTAGGACGGGTGGCCAGCGGAAAGGCGATGGGGCGTGCTTTCGGGGAAAAGGCGATGACGAAAACGCGCAGCGGTGGTGCGAGTTAATGGATCGCCTCGTCGTAGCTTGTGAGACGGTTGACAGGACTACCCGCTCGTCTGTTCGCTCGTTATTTCGTCCGTCCCTTTGCGGTAGGTAGGTAGGTGGATAGGGTGGTGGGAGGTTTGATGGGCGGGTAGGAGGTACATGCGGGCATACGTACACGAGCGCTCACGGGCATGCGAAAAGACAAGCAGCAATAATGGTGCCAGTGGAGGGTTGAGACTGGCGGTGCTGGTATTATGCTAACCCTTTTTGCTGGTAAGATGTTAGTTGTTCTAATGCGGTGCTGCTGCAGCATGGGTTACGGTACCGCTTATGCTAAACTGGTGTGTCACTAGCATCGATATCATTGTCACTCCTTTGGGCACTTGGGTACTTCGAAGCTACTGTCACCGTTGCGACTTGCATGTAAATAAACTTATGCTTTACCACTACCACTAATTTCTAATAAATAGGAGTGGGAATTCTGAAATAGCGTATCACTCATTGAGTTTTCTTGCATATAAATTCACTATTAGAATTGTGGGTACTGTATCTCACAAATGCCCAAGTGTTAAAATCTCTACGCAGAATCGGATTGGCTTCTCTTCACTGAATACTTTAATATGTATTTGGTTCCTTGACTTGTCAATTATCTGTCAGAATTGCTCAACTGCACTCCCATGCAAAACGACATGCCTGCTCTTGCGTGATCAAATGCTTTGGGCAGATGGCCTCAGTTTACTGCCTTATTGCTCTTAACGAGACATTTTGTTTCCCTTTGACTCCATTCTCGTCTTGCAATTGAATGAACGGTAATTGGGTCTCTACAAGGCAACAAAAGGTACAGATGAGTTACTTGATCAGGCTGACCGATGCATTCATCAGCTGGCAAGTCTAGTCCAATTTTGAAGCACTTGCTTGTAATGCAAGAAATTGGCGCTTGACTGAATGAAGCTGCCTGGTCTCAGATTCACTGGGGTTTATTTTTTCACTCACCAATTGGTTTGTAACGGCATCATTGGTAGCAGTTGGAGTGGTACGAACCCACTGAGGTAAGCCGAGGTCACTGGGAACAAATTCCTTTTAAATCCGGGAGACAGAAAAGTGGGCAAATAGATAGTAGGCGGACAAATACCCACCGAAATGTTTATAAGTGTGCGTGTATTCGCAAATTGTAATATCACAGCAGGTTAACCACTCCGACTGCAAATACTCATATGCAGAAGCAAATGATTGTGCTTAGTTTAGTTTTGTTTGATGGTATCCAAACTTACTATCCCTTGTACTCATTGTAGTAAAATTTTGTGCGTAAAACTTCTCCCTACTACCTAGATTTTTGTGCCATTGATAGGCGGGCATCCTGGTGTTGGTGCAGGCTATTACAATCATGGCCTTGTTCCCAGTCCTCCTGAAGTTGGACTCGCGAAGACGCGTGCGCCATCGCATGGATGTGCTGTGCTGTCTCCAGCAGCCTGTCTCAATGGCACATCACGACACTGCAGCCACTTCTAGCGCCTCTGCATCACCATCGTACCTTGTCACACCCTGTAATTCCGGTGAGGGCATCGTGCGCGTCGTAGAGACAACTTCCACGAAGGTCCGTCTCAGTGGCAATGCTGTAGCCACCGTAAAGGTCTCCGTCTCCACGCAAAAACCATCAGTTTTGGTCAAAGACATCCATTCTTGTGGTGATGAGAATGTAAGTCATCACACATTAATTACCAAAGCTTCCGATACTCCACCATGCCACCTCAAAGAAAGCATGGAAAGCTCCGTAAGAAAAATTGTTTTCACGAATCCGACATTCATTACGCACCGTTATAACTTTCTTGAATGGAGGGCACAGAATGTAAAAGATGTATTCTTGTCTAAAAATCTCAAACGCACTGCATGCATTCGTTGTGTGTGTGGTAGTGCTAGAATGCATACACACACAAAGGAAGATTATTTCTCTTTCTCGCTTATTCTCTTGTTCGTTTGCTAGCTAGCTCGTTCGCTCTCACGCACACACAAACCGAAGTCCCTCTTTCTGGGCGCCTGTCGACGTGTGTGCCTGCGCGCATCTTAGTCACCGAATAATCGTGTTTTGCATATTCGTGCATGCGACAGCGCCGTGTGTGGTCGCCGCTAATCGACACCCCCTTTCTCTCCCCCACGCCGCCGACCTATTGCCTGCCTCTTACAGCTCGGAGTCGTCCTCCTAGAGTGTCTCTGCAGTTCTTGTCAGTACAAGCAGCCTTGCACCGGCGGTCCGCTTTTCATCCGCCTTGCGAACCGACTGGCAGCCGCGCTCTCACGATTCCTCTCCCTCCGCATCGCCGTCTGCCTCTTAGGTCTCGGCCTTGTTGCCTCTGCCGCCGTGGTGGCTCCCTTACGCCTCCGATTTGGTCTCAACCTCCTCAGTCTCATCCCCACCGACGCTATTGAACACGGATTCGTGGAAGAGTCGTGTGAAACCTTTGGTCTCATTCACTTCCAACTTATCACTCGAGGGAATGACGCCATTTTGGTAGACGACCCATCACCTTCCGAGAATTTTATTCACGGGAAATTAGAATTGTCGCAGGACAGCGCTCTTTCTGGTCCCGGAGTAGATTTCGCCCGGAGTCAGGCACGCCTGAGGACGCTTTTTACCGATGTGGCTAGTCTACCGGGAGTTTCCTTCACTGGCAAGCGTATTTGGCTGGATTCCATGCACGACTGGCTGTTGGGTCTTCAAACGGCTTTCGATGCTGATAAGCAAAATGGCTATATCTCTCCTGAAGGTAACTGGACTGGAAGAGCTAGCGAAGAAGGTGTTCTTGGTCTCTTGCTAGTCGTGCAAACTGATAACGGTATCGACTTGGGCAGGGTATGTCGGCTAAGATTTAGTAAAGGGTGACCTGTCGCGGCTTTTACACTGTAGTGTTAATCACAACTTCCTTGCAGATTCAAACAGGTCGTTTGGTGGACAATCATTTGATTGAACCGTCTGCATTCCATGTATACCTGCATGCATGGCGTGTGTTGGATGTATTCAACTATACCTCTCCTCCCTGCACCATCATTCCTGACCCAGCCCTGCAGTCGGGTCGAATTACAATACCGCAGCGAGTAGGGGGGCCTTCAGATCTTTACAGCATCGCCCCTGCCAATCCAATCCAACTTATCCAAACTGCATTTTTCGCCAAGGGCTATGGGAATGTTGCCGACCAAATCGATTTTGTAAAAGTAAGGCAGGAAACTGATATCCCTTGTGTGTTCTCGGCTAGATGTAGATATGCTTATTTTCTCTTCTAGAAAGTTCGTGCTCTCACGGAACAGTCGAGCTCTCAGGGCGTACCAGTCTTTCCTACTGGTCTGCCATTCACCTTAGTGGAGCAATATCTCACCCTTTGGCATCACTTCGTTGTGGTCATTGGTATTCTTGTGGGTACAGCGTTAGTGGCGGGCCTGCTATTCCTTCCGCATCCCGTAGCTGCACTGCTCGCTGTGTGTGTGGGTGGTGGTGGCGCTGTCTCTGCTTGCTTTCTTAGTTTCCTTGTCCTTGGCCTCGACTTAAACGCCATTTCAGGTGGATTGGTGCTAATTGCTTTCGGATTGGGCACGAAACTTTCTTCAGGTGTACTCTGCGGCTGGTACGGCCCCCAGCACAATATTCACCGTCGAAGTCGCATAAATGCTTCCTCTGGCCTTCACAAAGATGAGGTCAAAGAGGCTGTAGAAGAAGAGTCGGGCGTTGTAGGGATTCCTGCCCCTCCTACTCCTCTAAGAGTGAAGAAGCTCTTTGCTGTTCTTCAGAACCAAACCGGTCAAATCGTCCACGCCAACGTAAGCTTTGTGCTCGCTGTGGCATTATTAGCCGCTGTTAGAGTGGAGTTCATTGCTGAGTAAGTTACTCTTCCTACAAAACCGTAACAAATAATCTTTTTCGCTAACTATTGTGTTTGCAATTTTAGTCATTTCTTCCGTCTCGTGGGCATAATATCTCTCGCTTGCCTATTCAATTGCTTAATTCTCCTTCCAACAGTGTGTTTTATTCTTGAACCGATACTTCCCTCCCCATTGTATACTATGTCATCTCCTCCCCCTGTTCACATTCGCCACGATGTGGAAACTACCATCAGCAATCTTTCGCCACATTCCCCCACATCTTCATCTTTGCCAACGTCTCCGTCACCCACCCTACCATCACGGGTCGAATCGACAGATTTCAGTCCCCTCGTTAATGTGCAAGCTAACGGGGATGGTGAAGAAGAGGACGAAGAAGATATGGCGATGCGTCAGCTCTGTGACTCCCTTAAGCGCAGCACTATATCAACGTTCGTTCATCATGATTGTTCGGCTCCGTCTCCACCCCATTCTGCAGTTATTGACTTATTTGCAAACGCCCTCAGAGATGCCTCGCGGCACCCTAGCCTGAGCACAATCTCGGAGGAGCCCTCAAATTCCAGCTCCACTATTAGTCTTCACCCTCCGCCACCTCTTATCACTCCACCGTACTCCCCGCCTCCGCCCCCCTCCTCCTCTCACCTTCACCACATTCATCATCATCATTCAGCGACAGTGCGAATGAAGGAATTCCTTCCCCTCTTGAACGCAGCTATGGTAGCAGCTCAGCGGCATCACCAGCAGCAACAACAGAGTCGTAGAAGTGGTGGTACTGGTGGGTCTGATCCTCCACCACCGCCCTATACTGAAAGGTTGCCATCTGCGTCAAGATGATCATCCCTCGTCTGTCTCTACTTGTACATAGTCGTGTTGATCCGTTTTACTTTTCTACACACGCCAGCTCGATGTACAGAACAAAAGAGCGTGAAGCAGTAAATTGTTCCCTTATCTCCCTCCCGCTGTCTGTTATCACTCAGTGTGTTGCCCATGCATCTTAATTTGTATGCATTTCGTGAGGATGTCGACTGAACACGCTACTAGATGCCACCTACGCTGCAAGTGCTTATTACTTGTATACATATGTGTGTATACATATATATTTAAAGTCTATAGATATGTATGCAAACCGGCGCATATGCGTTTCCACATTCCAGACTTTTTCTTTCTACGATGTGTTACGCATTCAAACCTATTTCTTGAGTTTGATTTTGTGTAGCGTCTTAGGATCAGGGGGTCTACCCATCTCTTGGTTATTTTTTTACCCAAAAATATTTTTCGAAGCAACAATGTCTGCATGGGCGTTAAAGTGTTAAGAAGTGCTGCTGTTCAAGATTCATGGGTGGACTCTCCTCACTTGGGGCTGAGGCACGCACTTTGATCGTCTCCCGTGGGGTCGCTTTTATGCTTTTCAAATATCTAGAATTTTCTTTAAAGTTACGTTTAAAGTTTTGAGCTGATTTTCTTAATTGATCGAGTAGGTACACTGTATAACTTTTTGATCGAATAAATAAAGGGCACTAGGTGTTTTACGGTAAGTTGTGGTTCACCCGCTTCTTCTTAGTCCCCTAGCTTCCAGTTCACGTGATAGATATCATGTAAAATTCATTGACTTGGAGATTTCAAGCTCTACTATAATCTGTAAACGAATTGCTATCTGAAGCATACGTGAATTGAGGCATTAGTTGGTATTTTTGTCTTTAAACAACCTATTTGCGTGGATGAGTCTAATTATGCCAGTTTTGTCTACATGCCACCTTAGGGTTAAGCACCTATCAGGCTAAATAGGCGTCAATTGCGTCAATCATGTCGCCCTATGTGAACTTTGCCCTCAAAGGCACTCGGACGCATGCTTTTCGTAATCTTCCGTCATCGCGCATGTCGGTAATCGTAATGTCCATCTTGCATCAAATGCCTTCGCCACAGTTGAAACAATAAAATCAGGTCAGGAGCAACGTTACGGATTGTTACCATTGCTCACGATGGTTATTAGACGCTTTGAACCTAAAGCAGTCAGGTTAGCATCTTGCTTGGCATTACAGGCATTACTGCGAACACTTCATTTATTTTCAAGTAATGGAAGTGTCCTATTAGTCTCCTCAACTTGTCACCAGCGATGGACCGGACGTCTCATCGTCAAGTTCGTGCATTTAAGGTCCTTCCATTGTCCTGCGGTCCATACTTTCCGACGAAATTATCTCTGTTCGGTGCTGTTGTAAGCGGTTCTTTAGTTACTTCGAAATTCGCACTGCTTTTACCAATTTCACTCAAATCACGTTCGGCCTGGTAGGTCGCATTGTCTTTTCCCTTGGAACGGTGAAGAATAAGTTTGAAGCATGTTTTGATTAAGTTAGTTTCCTTTCGTACAACATCGATCACTCTCACTGAACAAGAAACTGTCCAAGTATACGTATTTCTTTGCACAGTTTCAACTGCTGTTTTTAAAGGTCATTTTAATTGTGTTTTGTTGTGTTAAACTGTTATACTCAACGAAAGCTCTTTGATTCTCACTGAAATGCTGCTTCAAGAGAGGCGATAGAGCTTCATTTCATGCCTCTAAGTCGATAATGTTATTTGTATATTCAAGGAATTACTTCTGGGAGAGTTAGGTAAGTGTTCGCGGAAGTATTTTGAGGCATGCGAAGCCCATCAAGCTGTTTAGACACGTCAAGATATATCTAAAACCCTTTTTTACTTGACAGAATTCTGCTGCTATTTGCATTCCAAGCGTAGACTCTTCTAAGAGTTGGCCAAAATTCGCCCCTACAAGTCGGAATTGATAGGTGACCTGGCCATCGAAAGTCTTCAAAAATGCTATGTTTTTGCTTTATCATGGCGATAACGAAAACGAGGATAACACAAGCAGTCAATTGCCTTTTTGCGGCTGGAATTTCTCTGTGATTAATGGTATGACTTGAAAACTGGTATGCAGTCCATAGGTGTAGTGCTCTCACAGTTTGCAACGTTTGTCTCGCCGACGTCAAAACCGGTTCCAAATTAGAAAGGATGGATAATAGTTACTTATGAGCAGAAGACTCCATTGTTTTCGATGTGCTATTCGATTAGCGTCTCAAATTGATAATTGTGAAGCAACGATTTTCTTTCTATCCATTTATGCGTCGAAATATTGAACCAGTAAACCGGATAAATAAAGTTCCTTAAAGGAATAGCTCCCTTCTCTCTCATTTGCACCACCAGCATCCTTGATAGCTTTGCTGTGCGACGCATGGCCTCGGCGTTCTTGTTCGCTTCTGGAGTTTGGATCCACCATCGACTCTGAACCGTAGGGTGGAATGTTCACTACAAATGCTCAAATGTCATCGCTTAATTAATTGCTATTAATGTGCAACATGATAGTTTTACTGTGCTTGAATAAGCCATGTAGCAAAGTTTGGGTGTCTTGAGCAAAACTGAATCGGTTTTACAATATAAATACAAAAGCTAACGGAAAACTAAACGAAAACGAGCCCAGCGCCTTATGTAAATTAATTTCCACTTGTGAACTTCTTACGAGAAGCAGAGGTACGGATCCAATTCCATTAAATCGGTCATGCTTTTCGTCTTAATCAAGCAATGGCTGGATCCTGCGTTGACGAACACCCGTCACAACTTGGTCTACTTCATCCCAAAGTGACGGTTATTTTTATTAAGTCAACGTACGTGGTGTCACCAGTTCCTTAATTTCACTCAGCCCTCCTCCATCATCAGTCTGTGCACATTTTTGGTTAGTGGTAGTGACCGTGACACCTTTGCTTCAGTAAGCATAAAATGAATTTCAAAAGGTCAAAAGTGTTCACTGAATGTCGTTTTGCATTAGAGAAGTTTATAAGCAATAAATGGGAGAGCCGACGACGACATTGAACTAAAGACGATCAATTGCAAATTTAGTGCACAGGTTTGCTATACTTTGAATCTTCGATTACTGCCCTAAAAAGGTTGCAATTTTGTCAAGCGTATTCAATTTGCTGCTTATTAGGCAACATAAAAAGCAATCGTTTCACATAAATAACAGATATAAAAACTGTTTTTGTTCAATGATCGCCCATTTCGCACACCTTGGTGTCTCAGTGTAGGAGCAGTGACAATTGGAGGTGGGGTAATATCGAAAAGGTCATGTCGATGTTAGCCACCAATCAAGTCTGCAGCTCCTGAGTTTATCAGTAGTCTCGGCAGCAAATGCCAACTACTTTGAAATTAACAGTCAAACGTTAGAGGTGAATGACCATTAAAGTTTTGAGTCAATTTTATTAAATTACGCACTGGAATAATTAGATTTGATATTACCTCTCGGAACTCTCTTGCAGCCTGGAACTTTTGGAGTTCAATGAAATTGTTGTAAAGTGGGTGTGGTAGTACCACTCTACATGATCTGATCATTAAAACTGTGAGCATTCTATGGAGTGAATTGCAATAGGTATTACAAATGTCTTCAAGGATTGAGGGATCGCCGCAGGTTTAGAAGCTAAAGGCCGAAATCTGTTAAATTTTCAACAGTTCAAGCACCGCCCTGTGGTGATTGATTCCCGTCATATGGCGTTCGGGCTTGTCCTGAAGAGGGTGGACGCGCAGCAATCGAAAGGGGACTCAATAAGATGGATGAGCGCTGAGGGGCTGACAGCCTGCCTTTTCGTAACTGAACGTTTGTGTATTATTTTCCCTTGTAGCGGGTGCCATATGGCACTTTTTCGAGGCTCCCGGTCCCACGTCGTGCTCAGCGTCTTTTTAGAACTCTTAAGGTCGGTGTCGTTGCTTTTTTAGAAGAACAGATAAAACCAGCTGTCGTTTGGCTCAACTGGGTAAACACTTCCCACTTCTGTCCACCTATTTTGCCTACTCTTTTAGCTCCTCAAATATGGTTTGCACGGCATCGCTATATCACTTTGGTCAAAGTGATGCGATTGCGGAAACCAGCATGTTAGAATGAGGATGTCAATGTCCATTTATAGACTCACTCATCACTTCTACTCAAGATATATTTAGAATGCCTTATTTTATAAGGAGAATCATCACGTGCTTCTGCTTGCTTTGATGCCTAAAAATGTGAGAATATCAGAGTTAACTAGTCTATTTCCAAGTGATTACATGCCCTAAACGGACCATATCAACTTGGTTGTTAAAAACAGCAGCTATAACATCAAGGGAACTTATTACCGCTGCATCTTTAAATACAAAATGTTCTATGCCATTGATATTCGGAGTGGCAGATCTGATATAAAAGCTAATTTCATTTGCTGGACACTGAAATGTCATCTCGTTGACTGCTTGCCTTGCTATGGATTTTCATCCAATTAAACTCAGTCATTACAATCTTATTTCTGTTATCATTAATAGATTTTATAATTTCATTGGTGTCTGCTCAGGTAGACCATCGGTTTTGGCAAAGCAAATTAATCAGAAGTAGTGTTTTGCGCCCGTCGACGAATATTAGTACCACTTTCAGTGTAGCATCCCGAGACTTTCCACAGGGTGGAAGAAGACACTAAGTGGAACTCGATAGGGATCAGGTCTGAGCTTGGCCCGAAGACTAGCAGACGCGAACGCGGGACTGATGAATACCAAAATTAACGGCCAAACATCAGGCGGTCACATGAACAAATAATTACATTTAGCTCTTTTTAAAACATGTATAGAATTATTAAGTTTTAGCAAATTTGGAATTTTAAACGTATCGAGGTAGAGCAGATAACTGCTTTGGCTCACCTTTTTAGAGAACACACATGAACATGCCCAATTTTTCTGGAACCAACTAAAATTGTTAACACAGATGTTTACTCGCCTGTAGTTCAGGTTCCGAGTTTTTTGGAATTGCGATGGTGGCCATAATTTCCCCACTTCAG